ATATGGATTCCAATGTTTATCGACTGCTTGTCCACTTGTTCACATATATAATTAACTGTTTCTATTAGAGGTACATTTGTGAATAACGATGTTATGTCCAGAGATATCATGGTTTTGTCCTTGATATTAATATCTTTTATTTTGTCTACGAATTCAAATACATCTTTGACACTATATTTCACTATCTTCTCATGCAATGGTTTGAGAATATTTACTAACCATCTAGCCAGAGCATGGTAGGGCGAATTTTGCATATCAATTATTGGTCTTATGCACTGGTTTATGCACTTTAGGTAGGCCATACAATCTTGGCATATACGTGCCCGTTGGTCTGATTTCTTCATATAAACTTTCAGAAATTATCTGCTCCTCCCTTAGTTTCTTCAAACGTCTGGTTAATTCATTCTCTATTTTGTTATTGAAATCTTTCTTCTCCTCCAGTTTTTGAAACTTCTGTGTATCCTTCATCTTTTTAATATAGTCATTTCTATCAAGAAGGACTACTCCTGACCCTTTATCCGGCTTTGTGATTATCAGTCTCTCATCATTTATCAGTCTTTTTAGTTCTTCTCTGTGTTCCTTTGTCAAGAAACTTTTACTGTCGCATTTGAGGTTTTTGTACTGATAACAACAATCCACTAGACTGGATTTGAAGCGTTCTAGTTCGAAGGTGGATGATGGAGCTAGATCCCTTGTTTGACTAAATAGGTTTTCAAATTCAATATCAGTATCTAAGTGATTAACTCGTTTCGGTCTGTCACAAAATCGAAGGCCAAGTGAAAGTACTTCAAGTTGCACCTTATTTAATTCAACACTACTATAATTGTAGACGTACTTTTTAGGATCTGCTGGAAATTTACCAGCCTCTGGCTTCCTTTCGAGTCCTTTCATGAGTCCTTTCAGCTTTATCAAAGTAGCACTACTAAACCAGAATTTACAAAATCTAAGCTTATATATAACAACCTTATCATCGTTCATCAGCATGGGTTAATTTTCACGTTGTCAAGTTAGCCAGCTGATACAGATAACAAAACCAAGTGTAGATTGTTGGATTTGATAAGCATATAGAATTATAAAAGCAGCATGCGTTTACAACATAATGAAATTCCTCATCACATTCGTGTTGCTTTTGTCACTTCATGGGGGAGGGAGGTGTTGTATCTAGGTCAAATTCTGTCTCAGTCAATCATTCTTATTCAAACAATTTGGACTCCATTTGATATGAAGTGTCTCTGATGATATTAGACGTTCTTTGTGATTTCTGAAAATTTCTGGATTATTTCAATATTGTCAAAATCAATTTTGTGGTCTGATTCTCTAGCGTGTAGACTAGCTATGGCTGATGATTTTTCAAGCTTTTCTAGATCAATGGGATTTCTCGATGGTCGAACAGATACGGCTCTACGGTGTTCATATCTTCTGATTTTGATTTCTCTTTGGCGATGTTTGTCCGATGCATCACATTCCAAGCATTTTATTTTATAAACACAATTAGGAAGAAAGTCCTTAGGGATTTTTAAAGTTCTAGTTCAATAACATTTGGGTAAAGCTATTAACAGCAGCATTAAATAGCGAATGGTCAGTAAAAACAAAAACATCATTTTGTTTTTCATTCATTGGGAGATAGAAAATCTTTTATAATAATGAATATCATAGGCGAATTTCAACAATAGCGTCCCAGGAGTGCGAACGCTCCAGTGACCTTCAACGCATGCTAGTTGTTGCCTAACGACACCTGTCATTATGTTAGCAGAAATATCAACGCTACTCACCAACTTAGGAACGAATTTCACCCAGATCAGGTTTTTAAGTGCTGTTTGGACAATGTGTTAATAGCTCGTTAGGGTTAAGATAAGTATTGAGGTTAAGGTTAGGATCAGGGTCATAAGTAGGATTAGGGTTAGATTTACGGTTAGGGATAGATTAAGAGTTGACGTCATTTTTAAAAAATCTGTTATATTATCCACATTTTCCTGGTAAGTAATCGTCGATCCTCTTACTGCAAACCATAGTAATTCAACTGAGGGCTTTTGGGGAAGACTGCATAACTGGATAAGAGAGATAAACGATTCACAAAAACAGGTCATCTTCAGTCACCTCAGTGAATACATGTAGAGAAACTAGTCTAACTTAGCAACTGATACTCCTCATTATAACTGGGACGTGTTTTTAAGTCATGTCAGAGAAAGATACCCTGTTTAGTGTGTTTTCATTCAAAAGAATAGACACGGAACAAAGAGAACTCTTTTCGATAAATTCATCATCAGGTTCTACAATTATATATACACTATAATGAATGAATGAATTAGTGTTATGAACAACATTATTGTTTGAATAACATCGAATCAATAACATTGATAAATTACAGCTCAACAGCATCAACATCAAATAAACTGAATGTCAGAAGAATTAGGAAAGGTAATAGTACAAATTCATGAGTTTATAGTCTCTACTGAGGGCCAGTGCAGTAGTAGGGGCTGGACTTGTTTCTTTTGAACACAGAGCGCTGGTTGTTTGAGGCGAATTGCAATAGCCTCTGCTGTTTGGAGTAAACGGTGCTTCGACGATTTTGGTAGTTTGTTAGGCACCCGGTATATTATGGAGAAGGATTCGTCTACGCTGGCTTTGTGACCGGTTTGCACCAGATAGTCTAATATCGAGCTGTTAATACTTTTAACTACACCTTTACTTAGCCATAGTGGGAGATGTTCTCGAGCACGAAAAATCAAGTTCCTAGAGCAATGGCCAACATAACTCGCTCCACAAGCGCAGTTGAACTGATAAATATAATTTGAAGTGGCTAGTCTAGATACTTCATCTTTCAGTGAAGGTAGCACCATCGTTCGTGTAGAGAATAATACGTGTAGTTCGCCAGCATTAAAAGTTTTTTGAACTGATTTTCTTAATTTCCTCGTAATTAACTCACTTGGTATATCGCCCATGAATTGTAGTCGTATATAAAGGGGCTTCTTGTTTACAGATAGTGAGTAGTCCTTTTCCGCTTTGTCAAGTGTTTCTTGATAAATTTTTCGGGATAGCTATTTTCGATCAAAGTATCATATACAATGCTTAATTCATCTTCAATTACTTTTTCTGAGCATATAGCTCTAACTCTGTGGCTGAGGGTCCTCACTAAATTTCTTTTGTAATTGATGGGAACGAAGCTGTGAAAGTGTGTATATTGTCCTGTCCAAGTACTTTTTCTATGTAAATTTCTTTTTATGCTTCCGTCTGGTTTTCTTGTAAGTAGGACATCGAGGAAGGCAATTCTGTCTTGGGATTCCTCTTCGCATGTGAATTTCATAGCCGAATGTACTTCATTGAATTCAGTAATTATTGTACTCCTATCGGAACCATTATCACAAAGAATAAAGGTGTCATCCACATATCGGCAATAAAATGAGAGCTTACTGATAAGGTTGTTCAGAGGTCCATTTTCTAGCTTACTTAGAAAGAAATCAGCCAGAATTGGACCTAATGGGAAGCCCATTGCCACCCCGTCCACTTGCCTGTAAAGCGTGCCGTCAAATTTGAAGTTTAAATTCATGGTACATCTTAATATCAATTCTTTTGGGATTTCAATATGGATTCCAATGTTTATCGACTGCTTGTCCACTTGTTCACATATATAATTAACTGTTTCTATTAGAGGTACATTTGTGAATAACGATGTTATGTCCAGAGATATCATGGTTTTGTCCTTGATATTAATATCTTTTATTTTGTCTACGAATTCAAATACATCTTTGACACTATATTTCACTATCTTCTCATGCAATGGTTTGAGAATATTTACTAACCATCTAGCCAGAGCATGGTAGGGCGAATTTTGCATATCAATTATTGGTCTTATGCACTGGTTTATGCACTTTAGGTAGGCCATACAATCTTGGCATATACGTGCCCGTTGGTCTGATTTCTTCATATAAACTTTCAGAAATTATCTGCTCCTCCCTTAGTTTCTTCAAACGTCTGGTTAATTCATTCTCTATTTTGTTATTGAAATCTTTCTTCTCCTCCAGTTTTTGAAACTTCTGTGTATCCTTCATCTTTTTAATATAGTCATTTCTATCAAGAAGGACTACTCCTGACCCTTTATCCGGCTTTGTGATTATCAGTCTCTCATCATTTATCAGTCTTTTTAGTTCTTCTCTGTGTTCCTTTGTCAAGAAACTTTTACTGTCGCATTTGAGGTTTTTGTACTGATAACAACAATCCACTAGACTGGATTTGAAGCGTTCTAGTTCGAAGGTGGATGATGGAGCTAGATCCCTTGTTTGACTAAATAGGTTTTCAAATTCAATATCAGTATCTAAGTGATTAACTCGTTTCGGTCTGTCACAAAATCGAAGGCCAAGTGAAAGTACTTCAAGTTGCACCTTATTTAATTCAACACTACTATAATTGTAGACGTACTTTTTAGGATCTGCTGGAAATTTACCAGCCTCTGGCTTCCTTTCGAGTCCTTTCATGAGCTCTATCTGCTTCTTCTGTGCTCTTCGTTCACTAACTTGGGTAACGTATTCCATGAAAGGCGTTCGAAGATCTTCTGACAGTTCATATACCGCATTCATTTTCTTGTAAATATGAGTCGTTTTTCATGCAAAAATTCCTCATTTTTAAGATTGGTTGGTTCAAGGACACTTGTGTGTTCACATGCTTTGGGACGCTATTCTTGAACTTTGCCATATCATATACCTTATGTCCAAATTTTCCAAAACTGTTAAAAATGAAGTTTTGAGAGACAGAGAGAAAAGATTCCCCTAATTTTACACTATTCATAGTTGTATTGATTATTCAGGCGAAAAGATACATGAACTACACTTTTAACAATATCAAAGTCGAAAAGCCACAAACTGGCAAATTTAGTAATCCTGTATTTAACAGCAAGTCAAACAGATATACAGAAAACCAATAGGAAAAACATCAAAGTATCCAGAGGAAAATTTAGTAACTAAGATGTACAAGGAACTAATTATTTTAAAAAAAACCAAACTCACTAGCTTTTTCCTCATCCATCGGAGATAATGACAAAAAACTCAAAGTTGGCTTTCTTTTATTTCCCATGGGATGAACTTTTTCACACAGCATAGGACAAAAAGGAGTATATAATCGATCTTTTTGATCCACCTGTGATGTGTTGGGTGGTGATGATGATGGTGATGACGTAAACTCAGCATTAGACTTGGTGATTTCAACCTCTGCTGGACAGCTATCCGAAACCGGTGGTAAAAGAACAGGATATTCATACGTTTGAGCTAAACGTTGGATGAAATTTAACCCGTGACAAATTCCTTCAGCTTCTATGGCAGTTTGTTGAGACGAGCCAGAATGATAGGCAACGAGTAATATCAGCGAGAAAATACAACCAGCATCATGATGTTGATCGGATTCAAATAGAGAGCACAACTTTTTCAGTGAATTTTCCAAATGAATTCCAATTTCAGACCAAGAAGAGGATGCATAGTGAATGATTAAAGCACGTGCTGCATATGTCGAAGGAATAGAAGGTTGGCATACAAACGACTCCATCACCTAAATAATAAGAATTATGAATAAACTATTAGTATGATGATATATAGGTGTTAATGCAATGTTATGAGGAAGCGAAGCGTTTGTTTTATTGTTGCTTACATCTTGCAAATAAAAGTTATCAACACGATATAAACAAAAGGTTAAGAAAGGGGGGGGGGGGCTGAACAAGTAATGCATCCGTCACAAACCAAAATCAGTTAGAGAGATCGTTGAGAACCAGCTGGGAGTACTGGACAGCTGTTTCATCTGATTTTGGAACTCCTTGTCAGTGCAAACCGACGACCTCGCCCACCAGGACCTCCAGGTTACGAGACCAAGCACACTGACTGACCATTCAGCCATTTGGGTTGGAATTCAGTGACCTATGAATTCCAACTTCGTCAACTCATGATATACTGCTGTTCTGTCCAACGTCTCCGGTGAGCATCCACTTCACCTTGACACGGTAGACTCCAGTGGTCACGACTTCCCACTGTAGCTTCAGGGAATCCATCCATTAGCAGTCATCAGTCAGCTGGCGATTGGTATTCAGAGTATAGGATTTGTAGGAATTTTGGATTCATTCCAATTGTTAGATTTCCCCCACGAACCAACATGAGTTAGAGAAATCACTGGAAGATCCCTACAAATCCTATAATCTGAATATTCCTGTTAGACGAAGAAGTTAGAAAAAAATGTCAAGCCATCCGAATTTCCTAAGCCGACGACGGGAGATGTTTATTTTACATGTCAAATGTAAGGATCACGGATGGTGTAGGTTTTCTGCCACACCTGAGTTTAAGGATTACGAAAAAAACTAACTGTATGCATAATAATATTATGCACCGAGAAAAAGCATATGGTTAATAATCAAAGACCCAATGTACTGAAGTCATCAACTATGCCCTTTCCAACCACAATGAATAATGAAAAGTCAGACGATTATAATATAATCAAGTGTTGGTTTGTGGGGATTTGATTAGTTACAGGATTGGTGGCAAGCTAATACATGTCAGAGAACCATCGGAAGACCTGGGAGTACTGGACAACCAGTTGTTCCGTCCTAGTTTGGGACTCTTCATCAGTATGTACCCACCGGGGTTCGAAACCAGGACCTTCCGGCTACGAAGAGGGATCGTAGACCATTCAGCCACTGGGATCCGACCCAATGGTCTGTGAATTTCAACTTCTGACAATTCGTGACATATATTTGGCGCAACCGCCAGCCAGCAATTACCCTCTGACCTCGTAACCGAAAGGTCCTGGGTTCGAACCCCGGTGGGTGCATACTGCTGAAGGGACGCAAACAAGCAAGAAACAGCTGCTCAGTATTCCCAATGGTTTCTCAATGGTTCTGTAACTGATGTCAGCTCATGATGAAACTCTCCAACCAATCAAACACAATCCCTACAAAAACAATACTTGGGAATAATAATTCACTAAACTAGAGTGATGCACTGGAGAATCGCACAAAATAAGGACTCTTGAATACTCATGTTAACAATAAGTGGTTCTATGCTTATTGATCATACATTTTTATTTATTTATTTAAAACAAAATCGTTCGAGCCACCAATCTGATCTATCTGTTGGACCCTAACCAGGGAGCTGTGATCTACCAGCTGATACTTACCTAACATAAATATCCTAAATCCCACGACGCCATGTCATGGACTGACATCTCCGCCTTTTCTATCCAGTCTTAGGGCTAGCGAAAACAGACCGGTATGGAAGCCTCTGGAATTGTCCAAGCCACTAAAGCCGATGTTTCCAGGTGACGACACTCCATGAATAGTGATCTCCACTGTGTCCAAACACATGCTGCCGAACTTCAGGATTGCTCACGCGATGATACCATCGGACGCGAGAGACTATACGGAGACAAAGATGTTCGAATGCGGCTAGTTGTCATATATCTTTAAATATGTGAGGCCAGGTTTCACAGGTGTAGAGCAAGACAGCGCGCACCTAAGCACTATATACCCAACCTCTGAACGACAGGCTAACATCGCCATGGCGCCAGAGGTGAAACAAAATTGGTGTATGCCACTTTCGCTTTTAATATACAGCTGGAGATTTCGTCCACCACAATGCAACCACTCACACAGCCATCTCGACACACGAGCTTGTCGACAAGCGGTTCAATTGCAAGGGTACAAGTGCAGGTACAGGTTCCACTCAATCTTAAAACAGTACTTTGCATTTAGACGACGCAAAGTGTATGCCATACTTACAGACACTGATCGCCAACTGATTAAGGGTGATGTGGGCAGCGTGCATGCAATCGCGCAGTGAGACGATACCAACTGCATACTCGAGGTCGAAAAATCTTTCCCCATGAAACGGATCTACACCACAGACAGGCACATCCTTCAGAGCTGACTCCAGAATTCCATCGATGGTAAGGTTAAAGAAAAAAGGAGAGATCGGGCAACGCCATCTAACCTAACATTTGGCTGAGAACAGTGGTGATAGCTGGCTGTATGCCCTCATTCTACCTGAGGCGTTTTTATGCAGGGTTTTCAAGATGCTAACAAACTTCCCAGGTACACTCCTCTCTAACAGACAGTTCAAGAGAACAGTTCTGTCCAATAAATCGAAGGTAGTCTTAATATTAGGAGACACAAGGATTGTTGGCCTACAATACATGTGGCGGTGTTCCAGCAACTGACGAAGGATGAACACACGATCTGATATTATATAAAGAGCAAAATATTAAGTAAATAATCTGCAGTCTACAAGAAGTGAATATTCAACAGACTGCCAGTTAACTCACTCACTAACAGAAAACAAAAGTAAACGCATAACAAACAATAAAAGAGTTAAAAATGAATTGCGCTAAAAGTTGTAGATTACTTAAACACAATGATAATAATAATAATAAATAAAATCAATAATATTTATTACATGTAACATTTTTATGCATTGTAAAATGGAATTATCACACACAAAAAAAAAATTTTATGGTCAAATGATCTTACCTGGTCTAACTGCATAAAGTGTGTAGAACACGAAAAGCAATCACCAGGATTCTTACAATGAAAATGTGGATCCTCATTAATAGTAATAGTTGTATGATTGTTTGCCTGTAGACTAGAATTATTGATGCAATTACAGTGTGAAACAACGACTACAGAAGCTAACACACCAGAGAACTTGAATCTCCTGTTTGTAAGTGTTCCATCATTGAGCAGGTCTGGTGAACCGATGAATTCAGAGATAATAGAGAGATAGTCAATATTTTATTATTATTCACTAAACATCTCCAGTCAATAAAAGTGGATGCAGTTTCTTCTGTACTAGGCGACGATGAACTTTCACGCTTAGCTTGAATCTTTTCGTCTACTAACCAGAGGAGATTGTTCAAAAATGTTCTGATTGAATCCAAATCAATAACAAAGTATGGAAATTTGTAACTAAGGTGAAAAGTAGACAAAAAAATAAGAGATATGAACTGATTAAAATATGCCTTAAGTGTAAATAACAATAATAATAGCAATGGTAATTCCAAGACAGTAGGTAGGTGACACAGCATGGAATTCTTGACAGTTGGTATAATATTGCACATAACTTATTCACAAAAGAACAATACATGGTATACAGGTAACCAAAATTGACAATAGTAACTTTTTGGTATTGACAATGACGATAGAGTTAAACATGTGCAAAACGTATACGATAATAACTAAAGTTATAAAATAATAGAGATGGTATCATCATAAATTACAAATAGGAGAAGATAAAAGAGCCATTTATTTTGTTAACTACACAGTCGGCGACCATACCACGTTGAAAGCACCGATTCTCCTCCGATCACCGAAGTTAAGCAACGTTGGGCCCGGTTAGTACTTGCACGGGTGACCGGCTGGGAATACCGGGTGTTGCCGGCTTTTGTACTCGCTTCGGCGGTACATATACTAAAATTGGAACGATACGGAGAAGATTAGCATGGCCTCTGCGCAAGGATGACAAGCAAAATCGTGAAGCATTCCATATTTATGGTGCGTCGGTGGCATAGCCGTTAGGACGCTCGCTGACTATGCACATGGTCCGGGGTTCGATCTCCAGCCGACGCACTCCTTTACCTCGCTAAGCCAGAAATAATGCTGGTGAAGAGGAAAGGTTGAGCATGAGGCTAGCAACCCCATTCTGTAAAATAAGCACTGCTACAGAAACTTCAAGCCACTAGCTTGAAGCCCTATGTTCCACTGGGGAACGTGAAGGAAAAAAAGTTATAAATTTCACGCACAACACTTTGCCTATCACACACTATGGGAACCAAATAGGGTGTCGTTGTGTTTCAGTACTCAGTTGTGCGAGCATATAATCTTTTATTATGACACCTAATCCTATCTGGTGAAATGCAGCGGAGAGAGAGTTTATAAATAAAGACGGTACTGAGAGTCAGACAATATAGATTTATCAGATTTGCTAGTGTGAAATATTCGCATATCATGAATTAAAAGTCAATCTGATCCTGTCACACATTAGGTCGATACTGGACATCGCATCGATGTCAATACAGCTTTCAGGGTTGTATGCCGAATTCCGAAGTCGTTATCATGTACAGTTCGCTTACGTCTCCTACACATAGCTGAAGCTGTTGCAATAAGATCGACTAAACCGGAACTTTGTATCCAAAAAGAACACGTAAAGACGCTGTTCCTACCGTGGCCAAACTTGGATTGATGATTCTTCTTCTCATCAAGAGTGCTTCTTCCCCTTAACCCTTTTGGTTTTTTTCCCTTTGCTTATTATTACAATTATTATTCGTCATAATTTATGCCCTTCATGCAAATATTCTCTCAATACTATCGATTTTTCCATTTATACTATCCGGACTTATTATTAGTGATATTATCTCTTTTCTCAATATATGCCTCCACCAGTTTCATTTCACACATTCGTTAATTCATTATAAACCTCTCATTGCAGTCTTACTAGCCACTCACCAAACACCTTTTATAACCTTGAACTGACTTGTCAATTTTTCTACCCCACACTCTACAAATCTATTATGACTAATCACCACCATTGTCTCCCATTTTACAATATTTTGTAATCGATTTCAGCCTAGCACGACGTTTGTCACACAAATACGACTATTTATTTTGACACCCCATAACTGCTAATCTGTTATTCTACGTTAAAAAATGTATTCGCTGCATGCAAAACTGGCTATCATTATTGTAATGACAATAAATATTATATTTTATAATTGTAAGAGCCTGAAGAGAAATTATCGAAAAGAATATTCTTCGTTCAGATTGACTTTTAATAAACATTTAGACCATTTCTCATATGAGTTCAGGTGTCTTTCGACTACGGTAGTAACGAGCGAGCTGACTTACGGGCACACCACCTACTCTACTGACAATCTTGAATACCCTTCACAATAGGACATAGTCATTTTTGTGTAGCCGAGGAAAGACTAACGGGGGGAGGCAACAGAGAACAACAGGTAAGATGCGAGAGAGTCAATAAACTGTAAAAGTAGAATTTGAGTGATACCTGATTGTCTTGACTTCTTACTGTAGAAAGGTTAGATAGACGAAACATTTTCTTAGAAATCAATAAGAAATGAGATGATTAAGAAACGTCGAAGGAAAGAACTATTCCAAGGTGTTTAGTGCTTGACTTAGCTTCTATTTCAGTGCCTTCTATGTTATACAAACATCATGTGAACGAACTAGTTTGTGTAGATCACGTTTATGCTTGAAGGTGAAGTTGACTGTCTGACATTTGAAAGGATTTAACGTAAGACCATTTCACCTAGACCACTGGCTAATATCTAATAAAGACGATGAAATTATAATACTGACTTGAGAATGTTGTAATAGTTTTACAAAATATAACAATTATGTAATAACAATGCTCTATACAGCTCCGAAAATATATAGAAAAAAGAGTTTTAAAATGTAAAATACTCATTCGTGTTTTTTTGATAAATTACTGAGTAACAGAACGGTTCAGACATCCACTTCCAAGTATTTGACGCAGGCTTATGGCGAGTTGTCATCTGAAGTGGTGACGACTAGTGGCGTCCGTCAAGGATGCCCATTATCCCCATTCCTATTCAACTTCATCATAGACGTACTAATGGACTTAACCCTAACACACTTCAGACTCAGGGATTGACTTGCTACCAGGGAAGAATCTAGTCGACTTAGAATATGCAGACGATATAGTCCTTCTAGGCGAGGACGCTGACAAAATGCAGAGTCTACTGAACACTTTGAGCAACATTCTTCGTATGTTTGGCATGCGATTCGCCCCTGTAAAATGCAAGATGATGCTGCAGGATTGGACTTCACCGACCCCTAGATTAAAAATAGGAAGTGAAGTGGTAGAGAACGTTGACCACTTCACTTACTTGGGAAGTACCATCAGCCCCAACGGGTTGATCTCAGACGAAATCTCAGCACGAATACAGAGGGCTAGTTTCGCATATGCCAGTTTACATCGTCTCTGGCGTAGACGTGATATCCGACTATCGACCAAAGGGCGTGTGTACTGCTCATCAGTCCGCTCCGTCCTCCTTTAGGGCCAGCTGTGAAACCTGGGCATTGAGAGCGGAAGACATGAAAAGATTCGCTGTCTTCGATCATAGGTGTCTGCGTTCTATCTCCCGTGTGAAGTGGTATAATAAGGTGAGCAATATTGAGGTTAGGCTTTGGTCGAGTGCTAGGTAAGGAGGGGAAATCAATAGACGAGACTGTGAAATTACATCGACTGAGATGGTTAGGACATGTGTTACGTATGCCTAGTCATCGCCTTCCTCGACGGGCAATGTTAGCTGATATAGGGTCAGGCTGGAAAAGAGCTAGCGGCGGTTAAACCAAAACATGGCACCAGTCAATGAAATCCACAACAGTTAGTGTAAGTCAGCCACGTAGGAAGGTGAAGACTTCCTGGTTGGGGCCCTCGGGACGGTAAAAACCAATGGTTGGAAACAATTGGTGACATGACTCAAAGTCGTTCTCAGTGGCGCAGATGCATCCACTCCTTGTGACTTATGATTTCCAATGAAACTTTTGTTCTTCGTTATTACTGTTCCTTTGTCTCACACCTCCGTTTACTGTCTCCAATATGCATTTCTCCTACTTTCTTCTTCTCTTGCTTTGTGTGCTACATGGAGTGTGGCGACTTGAACTGCCGCACATCAGTGCAAAGTTCTATGTCAAAAACCGACCGACCGACCGACCGATTTGATGCATGCATATACACTCAACAACACATAACTAATCAGGAGTATTCATAAAGCCCTATGGTTGATAATCTTTTTTGTTAGTGTAAAAGACATCTTGCAAGTGAACTAACTATACATCTTTATAACTTTTCCGCAGTTGTTCTGTAGTGTTTTTTTCTCTCCTGAAATTGCGTAAACACAGATACCGGACTTCCTCACCAATCCACCGACACTACTAAGTAACCACTTCACAGTTCAAGTTGGCTGGTAGTTTGAGCAAAGGGTTATTCCTGAACTATAGCGACCCAAGCGAACGGCCTTCACACAATGACACCTTCTCGTCATCAACTAATCAGATGTGGCCGTAGTAAATACAAGGAAATATGAATGCAGCAGACGAATTACATTGCAAATTGGTTTGGACTAATACTACGACTACTACTGGAGATTTCAATAAGGAATTGGGAGGTATTATTATTTAGAACACGCGTATTTACTATGGACTCATCTGATTGGTTGACGAAGGCAATTATGACAGCCGTTCGCTTGAGGCGCTATAGTTCAGAGTAACCAGTAAGTTTTCGTTGGATTCAGGAATGACTAAGTCAAGGTTTAGGCTAAGCGCAGGTTAAGATTAGGTTAACTGATACGGATACATTAGGGTTAGTCAAGGGATAGCTACGCGTTAGAGTCGGGTTGAAGAAAGATCAGGGCTGGGGTGACGTTAGAACACCTAAATGAGTACATATAGTGAATACAGGATAATTAGTCTATTGACACTCCAATCCAAAACTGACAGGCATTTTCGTCAAGCATTAGAGAAAGATATCCTGTTTAACAGTTGCACGGCATTTTATTCATTATTTTCATGCATAAAAATCGTCCTTTTCGTGTGATTGGTGCGTTCAAGGTCGGTGGTTGTACACTGCTTTACTTTGGTGCCTAAAGTTTCGCTTCGCCAGCGAAACATGTGCGTAGAGATAAATAAAATATGACAACTACACAATATTTGACCATTTTTATAATTTGTAGCAACGTTTGCATTCGATAGCAATATTGTGTGGATTGGGCAACAAGCAACTCGGCTTCCAATGAGATCGTATATAGAATGCAGATCCAAACATGATAGGCGTTTCTACAGACGATCCTGAAGAATACTACATTACAGCAGCAGCATCAGCTGTTAGAAACCTGGTCAGAAACACGCGATAAGACATACAATTTACAACAGCAAGTTATGCAGTTGGTTCTCAATCAAATGAAGGTGGAACAAAAAGGCCACTGTGAAATTACAACAGCTTTCTGCCAACGTACCTCCCTACATTGAAGTCGTATCCTATATCAACTTCATCTATGGACATCTAGATAGTAGAAGGTATGAAATAATTTACTTGTAGCTACACTCTTTATTCGTTATTAAACTGTCCTTATGACAGATTGGGCGAAGTTAAACAATAGCGTCCCAAGGAATGCGAACGCACTAGTGACCTTCAGCCGAACAACCATATAAATAAGTGGTTTTTCACAAAAAAAATGACGCTTATTTACAAGAAATTGCATGAAAACACACGAAACAGGGTGTCTTTCTCTGACATGATTTAAAAACACGTCCCAGTTATAATAAGCATCAGTTAAACCAGTTTCTCTACATGTGTTCACCAAGGTGACTTAAAATGAACTTTTTTGTGACCCGTTTATCGCTCTTATCCTGTTTTAGAGTCTTCCCTAAAAGCCCCGGTTGAATTACTATGGTTTCCACTAAGAGGACTGACGACTACTTACTAGTAAAATGTGGATAATAGAACAAATCAAAATAAATAATACCAGCTACAAACCGATCCCTAATCGTAACCCTTATCCTAACTATAACCCTAATCCTAGCCCTAACGAGCTATTAAAACACATTTGCAATTAGTTGTGTTTGCTGAGCTGGTTGGTTTAATTGCGAAGCTTTCGCCGTCCCCCTTCAAGACAACATCTTCAGCGCAAGTTTCAGCACAAAATGAACCAGTTTAAATCCTTCAAGAATGATAGAATTGTGTCTCCTGGCAACTATTTTCGTCCCAGGTAGTCAATTTACATCTGTATTGATCATTTTTTTATTGACTTGGATTTCGGATTTTCTCGTCAGGAGGCACAATTCTATCATTCATAGGGAATTTAAATCAGTTCATTTTATGCTGAAACTTGCTCTGAAGATGTTGTCCAGAAGGACGACGAAAGCTCCGCAATTAAACCAACCAGCTCAGCGAACACAACTAATTGCAAATCATACACACCTGAGCTACAAATCTTCTCTACTATTAACACATTGTCCAAACCATGCTTAAAAACGTGGTCTGGGTGTAATTTGCTACTTAGTTGGTTGAATAGCGTTCATACTTGCACTATAATAATGACAGGTGCCGCTAGCCAACAACTAGCGTGCTTTCAACGTCATTGGAGAGTTCGCACCCCTGGGACGCTATTGTTTAACTTCACCATAGATTGAATTAAATATACATAAGGAAAAGAGGATAAACGTGCACAGTACAAAAGTATTAGTAAACTTACCGTGATGAAAATACTAGTCCAGATACGATTGTATTTCTTTTTTCAATTGTATTAGAGGTTTTAAGGCATAAATAGGTTAAAACTTTTATAGAATTTTGTTCAGCTTTACAATTATTAGTCGAATTTTGTGAAATGAAATTAGGCATGTTGTCATTTATTTGTTCACAGCAGCATTTGACCAGTTCATGTCTATTCTTGTGTACATATAAATTTACATAGAATTCTGACAGATGACTGAAATTTGGATTGTGCAATGAATGTGAAGTGGAATTACCAGCTTTAGGAGTAGATGATGTTACTCTAGCGGTACGAATGAACTCCTCTTTATTGCTATGATGGCAATCATCATTATCACCATCAATAACAGTAGTAAGACTACTCTTTAAAAGACTGCTATTTGGAGCTGAAAACGCTGACATTAATGATGCATTTAAAGGCGTGCGAATCGGTTGAATACAAATTGGCCGACGATTCGGTGGATCAGAATAGAATGGTAACATATTAGTAGTCGAGGTATGTTTTTGTATAGGAAACCCTTCAGAAAATTGTTTTACAACCATGACACGAAATCTACGACCATTCTACATTTAAAAAAATAAACCACAAAGAAAAGAAATTATATTAACTAGTGTATACAAAAACCTTAAAGAAATATAAATAAAGCAGTCGATTCCATCAATGAAAAAGTCTGTTTTCAACATAGAACTTTGCACCGATGTGAAGCAGTTGACGTCGCCACACTCCGTGTAGCACACAAAGCAAGAGAACAAAGTAAAAAGGAATGCAAAACAGAGATAGTGAATAGAGATATGAGGCAAAAAGAATAGTAATATCGAAGAACAATAGTTTCACCGAAGATTATAAGTCACAAGGAGTGGACGCATCTGTGCCATTGAGAACGATCACTTTGAGCCATATCACCACCAATTGTCTCCAGCTATTGGTTTTTACCATCCCGAGGACCCCAACCAGGAAGTCTTTACCTTCCTAAGTGGCTTAAACTGACTGTTGTGGATTTCATTGACTGGTGCTATGTTTTGGTTTGACCACCGCCAGCTCTTTTCCAGCCTGACCCTATGTCAGAACTTATTTATCAAGTATTCGGCTATGTACTATACACTTACTGAGTCAGGGCTGATGACACTACCACCACCCAGTTGCCCACAGACTGAAGTAGGTGGACCAAGTTTGGGTCCGCAGAACCTATTGACCAAAATTAAGGCACTTGAGATAATGATCCACAATGAAGAAAAAAAGTACTTCATTTGATTGGACACTAGCATCTAGTTTTATGTGTCTAGCCCTCTCTTTGATGTAGACCGAATTCTATCAGTCAGGTTACTACATTACCTCCATCCATCTAATATCATCAAATCAATATGCACCGTCAGCAATCAACCCACTGGCATTGACTGATGCAACTTCCCAAATAGGTGAAGTGGTCAACACGTTCCATCATCACCTTCACTGCTGTCTATCTTTAAGCCTGAAGTCAATGTAGTTCAGCCCAGTCCTGTAGGAACATCTTACATTTCACGGGAGCGAGCCGCATGCCAAACATTCGAAGATTTCTTCTCAAGGTGTTTAAAAGACTCTGCGATTTGTCAGCTTCTTCACCTAGAAGGACTTTTTTTTCTTTTTATTCCTTCACGTCCCCAGTGGAACATAGGGCTTCAAGCTGGTGGCTTGAAGTTTCTGTAGCAGTGTTTATTTTCACAGGATGAGGTTGCTAGCCTCATGCCCAACTTTTCCTCTTTACCAGCTTTTTTATTTCTGGCTTAGCGAGGTAAAGGAGTGCGTCGATCGGCGATTGAACCCCGGACCATGTGCATGGTCGGCGAGCATCCTAACCGCTATGCCACCGACTCAAGAAGGACTATATCATCTGCATATTCTAAGTCAACGAGATTATTTCCTGGTAGCAAGTCAATCCCTGAGTCGTCAACTGTCACCTTACGTGATTCAAACTAACCATTAAAGATTTCATGGAATGATTCTATTTATTAGTTTGGTCACTATCAGCTCTTCTCCAACCTCATCAATCCTATGTTACCTAACACTTACCGTTGAGGAAGGCGATGACCAGGCATGCATAACACATGTCCTAACCATTTTAATCAGTTGACTTTCCCTCCATACCCAACACTCGATGTTTAGCCTGAATATTACTCACCCCACTATACCACCTAACATGGGGGATAGAACGCAGGCATATATAATCAAAGACAGCTAACCTTTTCATATCTCCCACTTTAAATGGTTATATCTCACAGCCATATTTGGCTGTTAGATTTATCCTCAAACAACCTAGTCTACAATCTGTTATCGTACAACTTACCTCGTTATAGACTTGCAAACTATTTAATATAATTGGTGATTTACATTAAAATCGGTCATTTTGGCTTCTATGGATAACAATCAACAATCTGTCACTACCAATTTAATCGCTTGTTATTATAAAAGCATGCATAGACCAAGTTGTTCATATTTCGAGTTGCTTGATCTACGTCTCACATAATTAGTACAAATATGTGTAACAATGAATTATACTCAAAGGCGGTAACAAGATGTATTCAGGAGAAACACATATGTTGTAATAGTTAGCTGTGAAGAGGTCTGTCTGGATTCAACATAGAACTTGGCACCGAAGTGCAGCAGTTCGAGTTGCCACGTTCCAAACAGCACACAAAGGTATACAAGAAAATGAGTGAAGAGAATCAATAGAGTTTTGACAAGTATAAGAGTGAAACAGAATGAGTAATGGTAGAAAGGAATATGAAAGATTACAGAGACTGAATACATCTGAGTAAGCCACTGACAACGATTTTGAGCCATGTCACGTATTGTCTCCAGACATTGATTCTTAGAGTCCCGAGGGCGGGCCCCAACCCGGAAGTCTGCATCTCCCTACCTGACACAGTTTAACTGTCAGGGATTTCATGGATTGATGCCATGTTTTTGTTTAGCATGGCATCACTTACTCTTTTCCAACATGCACCTATATCAGCTAGTAATGCCCGTCGGGGGAGGCGATGGTTAGGCATGTGCAGCACGTGACCTAGCCATCTCAATCTATGCAACTTTATAGCCTCGTCGATTGATTTTCCCTTTGCCCAACACTACCTTATTATACCACCTAACGTGAGAAAGAGGTCGTAGACATCTATGATCAAAAACAGTCAACCTTTTCATGTCTTCAACTCGTATTGGCCATGTTTCAGAGCCATAGAGAAGGACGGAGCGAACTTCTGAGCAGTACACACGTCCCTTGGTTGATGTGAAGACACTCACTGAACACAGATGAAACCAACTGTCACAAGAAACATCAAAGTGGGAAACACAGAGACCTGCAGACAAATGCATTGGTGAAATCACTTAGCAAGTTATATGACATACCACATTAGTATAACGCTTGCACCACTACCATTACATATTTAGTAACAATAACTTACCTTTGCATTATAATGTTCTAAAGGACAGAAATCTTCAAGCGCCAAAGTTATTTGATTGGTGGTTTCTGATTGACCATGTACGCGTATCTTTACAACTGTATCTCCCCAAGCTGTACTATTTAACACGTCAGTACTTTTATTTGGAAATGATACTGATTTATTCATTTCAGTAGGAGCAGCAGCAGCAGCTGAAGAAGAAGAAGAAGAAGAGGCGATAGTTCCAATTGTATTCAAACTACATGGACCAGTTAAAGGCACTGACGGAGGAGCTGGTAAGACGGAAAGGCCACAGGCAGCATTGTTTGCTCTAGTTAAAGTAACGTCCTGTGAAGGGAAATAAACAATAGCAAAACAAATTTTTGGTCGGTTGACAGATAGGTGTACAATAATGAAGGTACACTACAAGTTGTATTAGCTAAAATACCAGTATTCATTGCAACTGATTTAAAGGTACGTGAATCTCAATAAAAGATTAGATAGGTATGTGAAAATGTAGTTTAAGTTAGTAAATATCAGTCATCTTAAAATGAGCGCTAAAGCTCATATCACAATCAACCAAATACAACCTAGTTATGATTTATTGCATACTAAATCCATATTGCTGGATTCAGGAAAGGGTAACTATGCGCATCATCATCGCACAAAGCAGTCAAACGTTTATCTACCTCAACTTCATCGACTTCGAAAAGGCCTTCGACAGAAAGTGTTGACCGAGAAGTAATTTGGAAACACTATAGCGTGCTAGCGGCGGTCAAACCAAAACATGGCACCAGTCAATGAAATCCACAACACTTAGTCTAAGTCACGTAGGAAGGTGTAGACTTCCTGGTTGGGGTCCTCGGGACGGTAAAAACCAATGGTTGGAAACAATTGGTGACATGGCTCAAAATCGTTCTCAATGGCTGGCGCAGATGCATCCACTCCTTGTGACTTATGATTTCCAATTAAACGGTTTTGTTCTCCATTATTACTGTTCCTTTGTCTCACACCTCTGTTTACTGACTATATTATGCATTTCTTCTACTTTGTTCTCTTGCTCTGTGTGCTACATGGAGGGAGTGTGGCGACTTGAACTGCCGCACATATGTGCAAAGTTCTATGTCGGAAACCGACCGACCGAGACTGGATTACGCAGAACACCGTAAGCAGGGAGCGAGAAGACAAGAATACGTTGGACCGATAAATAGACTCTACGACACATCTTAACTTTGCGGACGATTTATGTCTAATGGAAGATTTACAGGTGAAAACCAATAAACTGGCATTAGAGGCAGGCAGTGAAGTCAGGACTTCAAGTAAACCGAGAGAAGACGGAGGTGATGGAGATCACAACGACAACAACAACAAGCACTAGTCACTGTAGACGGGAGACAATTTGAAAGAGGTTACTTCCTTCATTGATCTCAACAGCACGATCTCAACCACAGGTGACTGCAGATGAAGATGTCAAAACCAGAATCAGAAAGGCAAGGCACACCTTCACCACTCAGAAATCTTCTGACGTCAGTCCGAGGAACAAGATTCGGATTTTAAACACCAATGTTAAGTCGATCAGTTCTTCTTTATGCGCCAGAAACTTGGCGTGTTACAAGAAGCATTTCCAACAAGTCACAGACTTTTATCAACAGCTGCCTTCACTTCATATCGAAGATCATATGACTGGTCAGAAAGAATTACAAACAAGAAACTATGGGTGCGAACCAATCAAGATCCTGTCACTCAATAAACATATCAAAGAAAAGAAAGATGCATCTGACACACGTTCAGGAGTCCGTCGAATGGCATCGCGTGCCAGACGAGTAGGGTTTCCGAGAGTGACATGGATGAGATCGTGTGAGAGGGAAATCAGAGACCATGGACAATCGTAGGACCAGCTAAAGAGGACTGTCTGGGACAGGACAAAGTGGAGGTGTGCTGTTGAAGCCCTATGTTCCAATCGGAACCCAAGGGAATGATTAAATAAATAATATACCCAAAGGGTCAAAATAATGATAATTCCATATTACATTTAATAGTTTATCATAATAGCCGTTTAAAATAAGTTAACAAAGATGCATGAACAGTAGTACTTATAAGACATTGTGAAGGTTTCCAGTGAAACTGCTCCCTGTATAAAGAGATATACTGATAGTGGACTCCGAACACACACGAAATTCTTGCAACTTTCTGATACCCACTTTGAAGCTGAATGATGGTGGTACAGACTTGATATGTACCGAAGGATTGTTTCACTGAATTATATGATATATAGAGATTAACCAGGTAGTACCTAATAATTTTAGCCTTGCACCATTAAAGTACAAAAGTACTAGTACAGAGAACTGTTTGAGACCGTTTTAAGAGGTGAACTGTCAGAAGTAGTCAGGCACATGGTTTCTGAACAATCGTCATATAAAAGTTGGTAGTTTAACAATGGGGACTTTCAGTCCTATACTGAAAGGCAGAGCGCAATAAACCACTTTAGGCATAGGTTTCAATTCTACTGCTTTGTTGGACATGAAATCACCGCCTGCTTTTTGCTAAATACTTATACTTATGCTAGACTGACTAACAGCGGCACTGACATAAATTTTCATGAAATATCAGTGTATATTACAGCTTAATTAAGCTTCCACAGCTAAATTTAACCAAACAGTGTATAAACACAACTGTCAGCTGGTGTCTAACAATAGTACATTTTCACTCCTGGGATTTAAAAACATACATATATACTTACAATATAAAATCGGCATAAACTACATAGATCGATTACTCCAACTGAATAAAATTAAAAGCCAATAAACACATACTTTGAATCCAACTTTATGCATGCCAACAACTAAGTCATTTAAACGGCTATTGAGTATATTCAAGAGAAAAACAAGCCGTTTTAATGGATCGTAGACTCCAAATGCAAGAATGTTTTTGGAGTCAGTGTGCGTACAACTTAAATGTGACAATTTATCTTTGATTTTACGCCGTACCAAACCACGTATTAACTCATATGCTCATGTCATCCATACATGTTTAATGCTCACTAAGATACTTACAAGCATATTAAATCAAAATATCACTAAATAATATCATAGGATTAGTATGATCTAAAGTGGGAGTAGCAAAACACAAACGGTTAATTTGTTTAGGCTTCCAGTTTCTAAGCATTAGGTTCTCAGTCCTAATTGTGGTGGACTGGATTGTGCGTCAGACAGTGGGAAACGAGAAGACAGGGATATCCCAGACCAACGTGAAGAACCTAGAAGACCTGGATTTCGCGGATGATTTGTTTGATGTCACACAAAATCGAAGACTTACAAGCGAAAACCGACGAACTGGTCGAATAAGCAGCAAAGACAGGACTCCAGGTGAACATAGACAAGACGGAGGTTATGAAAATAGCCAACCAACTGCAACAACAGCAGTAACATCCAGCACCAATCACCATCAACCGAAGGGATTTGAAAGAGGTTACTTCTTTCACTTATCTAGGGAGCATTGTCTCAACTACAGGAGGAACGGACGAGGATGCCAAATCGAGAATCCGGAAGGCGAGAAACACATTCATCAACCTGAAACCAATCTGGAAATCTTCATCACTCAGCATCAACAACAAAATTCGGATTTTCAATACAAACGTCAAGTCAGTTCTTCTATACGGATCAGAAACTTGGCGGGTCACCAAGGATATTTGCAACAGGTTGCAGACCTTTATCAACAACTGTCTTCGCTCTATACTTAAGATCAGATGGCCGGAAAGAATCACCAACAAGGAACTAGGGGAAGAAACAAAACAAGAACCAATCGCCCAACAAATATGGAGGAGAAAGTGGAGATGGATTGGACACTCGCTGAGGAGGCCGTTGGGTGACATCGCGCGTCAGCCCATTGCTCGAGTGGAACCCGAAAGGGAAGCGGCGAGTGGGACGTCCAAGGGTGACATGGAGGAGATCGTGTGATGAGAAACTGAAACAGTATGAATTAACATGGATGCAGGTGAAAGGTACAGCAGAAGACAGAAGCAAGTGGAGATATGCAGTTGAAGCCCTATGTTCCACTAGGAACCCAAGGGAATAATAATAATATATAGGTTCACAGTTAGAAACGCACCAAACTACAACCTCAAAAGCTGCAGATCATAAGCCCTTATGTTATTAACAGGTCATTACACGAAAACCCGTTCGGTGTAACTTACTATCATTACTACTCTCGCCTGTCGGTGGATATTGTCCGATCTCCAACTCGAATACGTGTTATTACTTCGTTAGGGAAATCTCACCTCACTAACAATTTGCATAAAAACAGGGGTATGTTTTAACGTACGTGCAGTAGTAAATGCGAATGACGATTATGATTAGTGAATAGGCATGGTTTACTTAGAGTTGGGACCCTGATTTCTGATGCCCTACTGACTTAAAGACTACATTAAGAGTGCATGCGTTACTTTAGCCTTTAAATAAGTTGTGAAAGAAAATTATAAACCACATGCCTAAGTATGAATCCACAAAATATTCCAACTACAAATCCTAACGATTATCTATAAATATTTTGGGTGATATTAAGTCAAGCAAATTGATCAAAGTAAACTGACAATCAGATTATATCACGAAAATAACAAACCTGAGATGGTACAAATTGTTCTGAAATCCCTAGCTCACTCTTTGATGCAGTAAATCCACCAGAGTGTATAGAATGAATGTAGCAATCTTTATTTTGACAACTTGAAGGTATACTAACAGACGAATGTAGGTTTCCATTACACGAGTTCATATCATATTCAAACCAACGTAAACTGGAGCTAGAAAAGAAAAAAAATAGATGTAAATGAATAGAAACACTGTAAAAACAACTAAAACGGTAGGAAGCTTATGAAGTTCACAGCGCTACATATCGCATTCTGAGCAAGAAAACTAGTGGCTAAGTAACATGGCATATTTACACAGTACAACAAATTATTAGCTTCAAATTCAAATGTACACACTATATATACAAAGGGTGAAAACAGACGGTAACAGATAATTTTGATTTGGACTTCAAACATCGTAGTAACACCAGTACGGATGTATTATTGCCCTAGAAACGTTTGAAACCATGAATATGGACAAAATAGTCTATTCGGTAAATCACAAACCGTACAAATGGCAGTTAGCCAGTCGATGAATTTTATTATTATTTTGTGAGATGCGGGCTTGTGCAATATAACAGAGAACTGTTCGAGTGTGTATTATTGGTGAGGTTAAAAACGTGCTTGCATTCATATGGAATTATACGAGCTCGGGTGAAACAGAGTATGGAAAAGGATAAGACGTGGGTTGTGATGCTCATTTACTTAAAATGCTCAAGACTCTAACGTATTTTGTCTTCGGCCCTTAGTAGCCATGCCTTGCCATGAAGTGGGACAGAGAGAAGTGTTCAACAGTATACACTTACCACGATGAGAGACTAGATACTTCTCTGGTGTGCCAAGGATGAATCAAGTCGGTAGATGTCAAAGTAACCCTTTGTGTCTGTGTTTCGATTATGTCAGCGAACACCTCACTAGTAGTGACGCAACTTACGTTCGTTCGTCCGTGCACGATCCCTAGCTAGTTAAGCGATCATTTCGCACCCCGATTTGGTCCTGAAATATAATTCGTAATTCGGACGATCAATTCTGGGGGTTTGCTTTACCTTTGGTCTACGCGGAACGAATACTATAGTTGTGGGTATTAGATCTTGCGTTAGTATACTTCGTACTATCCGTGAACGTCAACACCCTTAGCCTCTGAAAACGTTAAAAGCTAACACCTCCATAGTGACACGACGACTTCCTCCGTTCTTATGAGCTGAAATGATTAGTGGTCTATACTATTACAATGGATCTAAAGTTTTTATACACTAGTTATCACTTAGTAATGCTATCTTTTATAAGCTTCCTAAGTCTAACAACTAGGTTGTACCGATTTACCTAATTTCACCGTCAAGAGAACCTACACCATTTTAATTACCATGGCTTTTCCAGAACTTGTCTTTTTACCAAGTCTAAATAAATTATTGACTGATAAATGCACAGACTAACTCATACTCAAGGTCCATGCAATTTTCTATGCATTTATCAGTCTTAGCAATTAACTTTCAACAGAGGAGTAGCGAATTCAAATCTTGAGATTCTAAAGACTTGAATAGTGGAGCTTGTTGTTTATTTCAGTTGGCCGTCAGATGCTCAGAACAAATGCATTACCAAACTTTACTAAAGCAATCTATTGTACTAAAAATCTGTTTTTTGTTCTTTGGAAAGTACGTTGTAACTTCGCATTATTTCTTGAAGTGATAGCTTGAAAATAGTTCCATTACTTCATATTATTTGATATTTAAAAAAATATTTCGTCAGAATGCTATGAGGCATAAAATGGACCCATACAAAAAAACTTGGAGGATCTGGATTTCGCCGATGATATATGTCTGATTTCCAACAAACTGGAAGATATGCAAGCGAAAACCAACAAGTTGGCAGAAGAAGCATCGAAGATAGGACTTCCTTCAGGTGAACATAGAGAAAACAGACGTAGGTGATGAAGATTCCTGGGCAACACCACCAACAGCAACAACAACAGACAACATTCAGCATAAATGGGAGGAACCTGAAAGAAACAACCTCCTACAAATACCTATCTGGGAAGCATCGTTTCAACTACAGAGGGATGGAACTGATGAGGATATCAAAGCGAGGATCGGGAAAGCAAGACAAGCTTTCATTACTCTCGTGTCTGTGTGGAGGTCAACAGCACTCAGCATCAAAAATAAGATCCGGATTTTCAACTCCAATGTGAAGTCAGTGCCACTTACTACACGGATCAGAGACTTGGCGCCTCAGACTACAGACATTCATCAACAGCTGTCTTCGCTCAAGATCAGATAACCAGAAAACATCAGCAATAAGGATCTCTGGGAGCGAACCAACCAGGAACCGATTATGAAACAAATAAGCAGGAAGAAATGGAGATGGATTGGCCATACTCTGAGAAACCAAGTGACATCACACGCCAGACCATCGCTCGAGTGGAACCCGAAAGGGAAGCGGTGAGTTGGTCGGCAGTGCGAGAGTGACATGGAAAAGGAGATGAAAGCATGTGGGCAAACGTGACGCTAGGTGAAAACGTTGACAGGGAACCGAGCGCAATAAAGACGTGCAGCTGAAGCCCTATGTTCCTCTAGGAACTAAAGGAAGTAATAATATAAGGTCACTGTAGTCTTTAGTCGCACAACACTAAGCTTCTTAGAGTCTCTCCATAATGGGAAAGTCAAGAAAGGAAATTCCCACTTTGAAACTGACACAATAATAAAAAGAATGATTTCCTCATAGGACAGGCTTTAAGTTATTGTGTGTAGCCGCTGAGGCAAAGAGAAAATGAGTACGAATTAAAAATTACGTAAAAGATCCCATTAAAACTAGGAAAGCTATATACATCTCTGCTCTAAAGAGCAACCCGACTAAAAAGAAAGGTAAGTGAACTGCTGGTAAGTTTACCTAAACACATGAAGAGTATTCTGTCAGACGCTTACAAATGAAAGGTCTTAAAGAGGCCACTTCAGTCATACAATAAATAATAAAAAGATTTAGATTTTATAAATCTTAACTTTAAAAATCCAATTAGAAAGAAACTAGAATGCATATAATGTAACGAAGTACTTACCATAATGACTTCTTGAAACATATAGGGAACGGCTTTCGCAAATTTAATGCTCTCTTGAGAATAGGATCTAGAAGACCATTACGAAGTTTATGCTTTTTCATGTCATTATAATATCCGAAAAATGCAGCACATTGAAAAACAGTACAGACGTTAATATTGAGACGTGAAGATGTCTCCACAACGCAAACATTTTTCATCCAACTTCTTTTGGATTCGCTAACAGTTTTCCTGAGTAAGATTGAAGCTTCATTAGAAACAACTATATCATGTTTGGTCGTCGCAACAACGATTGGTAACTTCAATGACGACAGACGCGACACAACATGTCGCAAAAAAGCAGCCTGTTGTAAAGCTTCAGGTCCACGCAATGACATATCGTATGCGTATACAAAAACATCGACGGACAGAGTTGTGGGATCAAGATATACTTGTGGGAAGGCAGACTCATGACCAAGCTGTTCTTTACAAATGTACGATAGCTTCCTTGAATGAAGGTGAATTTTGCAGTCCAGGCATCTTTCAGCATAAGGCCTGTCCTCAAAGAGAGGCTGAAAGACGTGATCATCCACGAAATCACACTGTTCGATAATTCTGATTTGTATTGCAACACCATCGACATTTACACTGCTATCCCCCCAGTAGAGCCAGTGACTGGAACAGACTACTTCTCCATCAAAATCTGATAAACTGAGCACAGATAAATGGTTGTCATTGAAATGTGACGGAACTAGGAAACGACTGATTAAACACGACTTTCCAACATGCTGGCGAGCACCGACTGCCGAACCTGGGTATCCAATTACAGACACAGTGACCTTTTTAGATGTACGCAACACCATTTTCGGCTTATAGGATATGCGCACATCCTGCCAAAAGAATCCCGACTCCCAACTCACGTGGTGTACAAATTGCGTGCTCAAGAAAGTGGTTGTTTTAAACAAAATTGAATAAGATAGCAAAAAGAAACAAATTTTAATCGCATTTTTGTAATATAAGTCTCATTAAACTGCTTTTGATAAATAAAAGTCTACACAACAAGGCGACATTTCAAAAGTAGTTATCCATTTCCGTATGTTCGACAAAAATGAAAGTGGTAATTTATAGTAAGTAGATTTGTTCCGTAATTATGATAACTAAACCTTGAAAGACACAACCAATTATTTCTCTTAGCTTTAACCAACACATAATTCTTAGTTCAAATAGCGTTAATACTCAGGTATAACATATATTGCAATATAGCAAGACTTCTATTGAGGAATCTTATTCAAATCTTGCGGCAAATTTGAAACCCTTTTAGTTGAAGAATGGTTAAGTGTCTTAAGACACCGCCAGCAACCACCACCTAACTTTCCTCAACGTAACTTATGAAAAGTAGCCCACTACATTGTATGGTTCTGAATTCTCTTCCTTTCCTACTTTGCTTGAATTATACGCCATTTAGGATTCAGTCACCTTGTCTGATGTTGGCGATGATTTTAAGCTGTCTAGAGTCCCAGAGAACAGTAGTTATATGATGAAAGTGAAAGAATTACTTTGAAAGATACTCTGTGTTTCTTAGTCGAGTGGTTTAAATAATGGTCTTCGGAAAATAACGACAACAGCTAGTGAATATAAAGGTTTGAAACCGGTTTTCATTCATGATCCAAAGACTGTAAGTCAGCGTTTAGAATAGTAATAACTCTCCATAAAGGTTTCGTAGACCTCAGTGATGTATTTATGCGCGACATATATCATATCTTATTTAGAAACTGTATTTAAACAACCAGTCCATATTCCAAGTAAGAAGCGCATGTATTTGAAATGTTGAAGAATGGGGTGAAAACTTTCAGACCTCTCACTTGATAATAGGTTGAATTGAAAAGATTTCATACCGGTGACTGACTGACTACTTTACACAAGCATTCCATAATTCTTGAAATAGCTTGGGTGCTAATTCATTCTACTTGTTTTCTGCTTATAGGTTTGACCTCTTTTGAGAACGCTAGCTCAAAGTTCAAAAACCACGGTTGAAGTATCTGCATTTGGAAGTTCGTTTCCCCCACCAAATTGTATATCAGCAGAATTCTGTGCTGGACTACACCATCTCATAATATGCTGATTCATTAAAAGAAAGGTTTGATCCCGCCTACATTTAGCAGGAACCTCTGGTGTGCACTGAAATCAGGTAATATCTAAATATGTTTGTGTATAAATACTTTTCATGTCGTTTCTAAAATGACCCTAAATCTATATTCATAAAATAATGGTTTGTTGTTAAACCTATTTTTTGACACCCTTGGGAAGTAAATATATTTAAACTCTCTCTGCACTCTTCTAGAGTGTAGATATTCAAATAGAAAGAACAACACAAGTAAATTCAACCATTTCAGTTGTTCTTTATAAAGAATTTGAACGAGCCTTGCCAAATGCTCGAAGTTTGTGTCTCCCTTTAAATCAACTTCCTTTGGAGAGTGGGAACTAACTGCTTGAATCAGGTATCCTAAATTCACTCTTGCATAACAGAAGCATACTTGTGCTCTTATATCATTCTAATATTTATGAAGAGACCCCAGCACACAAAGTGCTTAGATGCAAATCCAGTCATATTAACCTAACTGAAAGTGTTTGCTAAGGTGTATTACAGTGTGTCATCGTTTTCAAGTTTATACGTCAGATAATCTCCTAGTTCTATTCCAAAACATCCAATAAGGAGAATGTGTGCTGAAGTCAGCAAGTTTCATCATTAAGCCACCTTTCAAAGGCTTTTTCTATTTCAGTGTTACCCACATCTCCAGGAAGCTTTCTTTCCTAACCTTTGTCCAGTTGTGCCGAATTAGAAATCAATTAATCTAACATAACATTTCGACCTAAAATTAATGCTGCTTTTGTACCGGTAAATTATGTTACTTGACGTCAGTATGCAACTAATGCCGTATTATCTTCTTTATAACTTTAAAAGCACTACTAATCAGATGTATTGGCCTGTTATTATTACTTAGATTCATTTCCTACGTTACGAGTTAAACATAGGGCTTCAGCATCACATCGCCCTTTCGCTTTGTTCTCTGTTGTTATTTCTACTCGACTTCATGCTTGCCTAAAGCCTTCTATTCTCTTCTTCTTCCATGATCTCCTCCATGACTCCATGATACGCCCAACCGGTCACTTATTATTCGGATTCCACTTGAAGGCCACTTACTTGAATATCTCCTCGCTACATGCTCATTTTACCTCCATGTTCACCTGAATATTTGTCGGGCAACTGGTTCTTGGCTAGTTTTCTGCCGGACATCTGATCTCCAGTACCGATCAAAGGTAGATATTGATGAAAATTTAAGGGAGTCTGTGGGAAATGCTTTTGATAACGTGTACACTGAGTCTTTGAACCACGTAAATGCACTGACTTCATGTTAATGTCGGAAATCCAGATGTAATTCCTTGCTCTGAGTTCTGTAAATATCCACACTGACTTCAGTGTAATGTATGCCCGTTTTGCTTTCCTGATCCTGTCTGGTTTTAATATTCCTGTCCGTACAACTTCCTAGATTTGAAGGGATGCTGCTCACATAGTCAAAACAGATAACTTCTTTTTGATTTATCCCTGTTGATTGTGACCGTTGCTTGATTTTTTCGGATGAGTACCTTCATCACCTCTGCATTCACTCAGCTTCCCTGAATCCCTATCTTCGTTAACTTTCCTGACAATGTTATGCTTTTGTCAGGCCTGAAATTAGCTTTTAATTGTCTATCAGCGCCATCAGTCTCTAAAAGAAAATACCTAGAACATTGGCATGATAAGTATTCCCTTCAACAGTTCATTAACAGTTACATTTCGAATTTCACTCTACATACGAAATTGTACCATTTACCATGTAATCCCTGTTGGATAATGGAGTTAGGTACTGAAGATCAGTCACACAGTTTTCATAGCAGCACGAACAACCCTTTTCATTTATGGTTATGACTCATCAGTGTTTATGAAAATTCTCCCCTCAACTCCTGTAATGTTTCCTTTTATCTTGATCCCATTTGGTCAAGACGCATATATACATATATAGCCACCTTTATGACGTATTGTCATGAGCACGTTCAGCCCACACGATCGCACATTCATCTGTGCCCACCTAAGCATGCTTCCTTAGCGAAGTCGACAAATTGTTGTAATATATTTGAAGAGTGAATTTTTCTTTGTTCCTCTTTTTGTAGTATCTGCCTATTATTATTTCCAAGAATCATGAAAAATTTTGATATTTCTACAAAGTTGTTTGATTTAAAAAAAAAAACAATAGTGAGCATGAGACTTTGACTTATAATATGCTGTCAACCCGATGCTTTCATTAAAGTGTACTGCAGACGAAATCTAAAGTAGTCTACACTCTTTTCTTTCGGGTAAAGGGGTTGGTAGAACTGCTCATTAGCAACAAGAAACTGTGGAAATAAACTAATCGAGAACCTATCTTTCAACAAATATATAGGAGAGAAGAGAAATGGATCGGGAATATGTTGAGGAGGCCCTCGAGTGACGTCGCACGCAATGCAGGCCATAGCTCGAGTGGAATCCCAATGGGAAAAGACGAGTGGGTCGTCGGTTCGAAGGTGACATGGAAAACACCCTAGGATGAGGGGGTGGAAGATTAGGGACTGTCGTGGACTTAGCTGTGAAGAGGAGAGCAGAAAAAGGAACAAAGTGGAGATGTGTTGTTGAAGGCCTATGTTCCAACTGGAACCCAAGTGAACAACAATAATATTAATAAAATTACTTCTCATCAGTTTATAAAAAGTAGAGCTTCAATCTTTCTGAGATATAAAGTCTCATTGGGTGTCTAGTTTTAAAGTTGAAGCTTCAGCCACAAGAAGATTTTTCCCCTGGTCTGAAAGACTAGTATCAACAAGAATTAGGGTCGGCGAGATGGAATTTTTTCCAACTTTCACACTCTAAGCAAGCGAACTCAATGTTATCTCATTATCTCTCGTAGCTTCTACGAAGGGGTGTAGGTCGCTCATCAGTGGGTAATTCAGAAGTGAATAGGGACTAACTCAACTGTCCCCCCTCCCAAGTTATTGTGCCCACTTTTTGTTCTCTTTCTTGTGACGGCGTCATCATACTGTATTTATTAGCAATATTTCTGTTAACTGTTAAGTTCGTTTGATAAGACGGAAAAGCTAACTGTTATTACCCACCACTAATTTCTACATCATTGTAACTTTTGCTGCTAACTACTTCTGATATTCCTTTCGGAGACCTCCAATCAATTTGCATTTATTATCAGTTCGAGAGGAGCTTCTGCTATATTCATTTATGATCTACTGACCATTTATTAGTGTAACAGGTTTTATCGATTGTTTCACCATAAATAAGAGGTATTATAGATTTTCTGTCTTTTCTACAAGATATTTAGCGAACTGGGGAGCCCTAGTATCTTAATCGTTTAGCTGATGTCATAAAGATTTCCCATTTGTAGTTTTAGTGTATCAATTAAGGTGCCAGTAAAGGCTCACTGAAACTACTGTGTGGTTAGCATTCAAGCTTACCTAGGTTAATAATAATAATAGTAATTTGCTGTATTCCAAAACAGTACTTGTGATACAGAATGGAATTCTCAACATTTCACTACAGTATTGCATCCAGTTTGGACATTAACAATAAATAAAAGTCTACATAGATTATGGGTAGTCTCAGTTAATTTTGACAACAACATATTAGCATACCGGTAGCAAAGCCAAAAGTGAACAGAATGTTTGAAGGTGTTAGAAAAGTAGATACTAGCATATTAACTGGCGTAAGCGGTAACTAAAAGGTGGGGATATACAGAGTGTGAAAGAACGAAGAAGAATGTTTTAAGTGGAGTTTGTAAGGAAGAAAGAAACAGAACAGCACATAACAAAAAACAGCGCAAAACAAAAACAAAGAAACAAAAAAAGAGAAAACGAAAAGAAAGAAAGAAAACGTTATACCTATAAATGATATGAGTTGGAAAGATGAGATCCAGTTGTACTACTGACTATTTAATAAGTTATAGGTATCACGCCTAATGCTTTCTTTATCGCACAGAACACTAGCCAAGTAGGGTATGGTTGAGTTTTTGCACTTGCTGGTGCGAGCATATAGTTTTCTATATTGGCTTCTGGTTTTACCTGATGAGATGCAGGGGGAGAGTTGTGAATGAAGAGGGTGGTGTGAGTTAGATAAAATGGATTTGGCCTATTTTTCACATGAGTCCATGTGCCTGTCAACCAGAATATTAACAAGCTGGTTAAGTGGCACGTTGCTTACCCTGCTGACAACCTTTAACATCCTACGTAATAAGATATAGTCCTTCTTCAGTAGCCCGGGAAAAACTAAGGGGGAACAGTAGAGAATAATAGGCATAATGCGAGAGTTAACTAATTGTAGGAGTAAGGGTTGGATTATTCCAGAATGTCCTAACTTCTTGATGTAGAAGGTAAGACGGAATATTTTCTTAGAAATCGCCAAGATATGAGACGACCAGGAGAGATTGTTGCTGCTCTATTTTGACTGAACTAGAATGCACGTATATCTTAGTACTTCTTCGCGTTTATATTTGTGTCCTAACGTTGTGATTACTCGACATCCACAACGTAATTAAAAAGGCACTTGCGAAGGAATACGACAGTGTATTATTGCAGCAATCAAAATTCAAAAATCGAGCGAGTACAAAAAGTATCAATTGTTAACATGCATGATTTAGAGTAATAAACAAATGAAAGTACAATTACACAATGAAAGTATAGTACGATTATGAGTAATAAAACGGGTCACTACAAGATCAGCAGATAGAATGACGCCTAGGTATTTAATTTCCGACTTAGTTTCTATTTCAGTGCCATCGATGTTGCACACCTCGTGAGTGCTAACCAGTTAGTTTGTTTAGGTCGGATTTATGCATAAAGATGAAATTGACTGTTTGAAATTTAGAGGGATTTAAGGTAAGACCGTTTTCCTTGGACCACTGGCTGATTTCTGATAAAAAGCTATTTAGTTTGGAGCAGTCACTTTGACACTTGACAGGCAAAGATACAGTCAGATCATCAGCATATTTAACGAAACTAATTTAAATATTATTTTTATCCCTGGCCTCATTTTGTGTTTTAATTTTCATATTCATTTCAGGCTGAACTCAGACAATGTTCTTGTGTTTTCATTTTCTTCTGAATGGATTACTATGAAATCAGTGAAAAATACTATTCCAACAATAATTTTATGCATTTGTTTCGTCATTCGGTATTCGAAAAGCAGTCCTCTTCCCATCATATGTGATCATGGAACAGTCAATACTTCTGACGTTGTAACTCATGTGATGCACTCCGACAGACAAAAAGTTATTCGTCGCAGTATACCATCAGAATTAAGAATCCATACTCACTATGACAGATCAATTAAATCGCTAAAGAATTTTCATCATATTAAGGTAATAACTAGCTGAACTTATGTGCATATTAGTAGAGAGATATCATTGAAGTAGCGGTAAACTTTTGGAGAGATGCTCTCCTAGTACGTCAATCTTATGTCATACCTAGTCGGTTAAGACTAGACAGGTAAGTCAAATTCATGCATCTTAATAATTACCTGCAGAGCTTGTGTTGATGCTGCGACAAAGTTGAGAAAATTTGACAGCCAACTATTTACATTTTGTACTAATGGATGTGTGGATTGGACGAAATGTGGACCTGTTAATATTCCAGTATCACATCTAAATGTACAGCACTTTTTATTCATATTCATGAAGAAATTCTTCTTCTTTCTTTTTTTGCTATTCTTATTAGCAATGTAGGTTTATATACAATGGAACTTCCATGATGTCAGGTCATAAAGGCGAAGGAGTATATGGAGTGAATTTTATACTGTACATTTCATCTCTGAGAACGCATCGATGCAGCACGGCTAAGGTTTTAGGCTATGCTGCACATTGTCAACTCGAAGCGAATACTGATCGGTAAATTTAGTTTACTTTTTTTCAGAAATTATAACTTCGTTTGAATGTTGATTTTATCCTTTTATGATAAAGTATGATTTAAACCCTAAGTCTTCTACTTGACAGAACTGAATTCCATATTAGGTAAGTTTATTTTAAATACCATACACATATATACTCAACGGTAGAAGGAATCCGATTCACTTCTGAGTTAGAAAACGAACAGGGGGAGTTGGCCATTCTAGACTAGACTGTAGAATAAAACAAAAACATGGTGCTGCGTCGTTGGGTACTAGTATTTATAGGAAACTGACACACTCTAATAAATACTTAGACTTTAATTCATCCCATCCAGAGTGGGTGAAGATAGGTTTAGTTAAATGTCTGTATAACTGGACCAAGAGCTAAATATTGTTAGCTAATCAATTTTTTCATTGTCTATAGTAAATGACTGACATCGAGGGATTTTCAGCCTCACTTTTGTCTGTTATGTCGACGACTAGTGTTTCTATATTTACAGAGAACACGTTGCTACTGGATATCTAAAAGTCAATTTTAAGTAACTGTTTTTTAACAGATAAGACTTTCATGTGTCATTCAAAAAATCTATTAGCAAGTTTATAAGGAAAATGTGTTAATCAAAAGCATAATCATATGAATTTGTATTGGATGCATATGTATGTGGATATTTTCCATTGGGGGGGGGGGGGGGAAGTATTATTGTCTGGTCCTTTATGATTAGTTATGTCTAACCTCCACTGTATTCAAATTTCAAAATAAACTGTATGAACAAACGAATCGCTTGGCAATGGGATAACCAATATCCCCAATGGTAGCAGACATATTTATGGATAGTTGGGAACATAAGGCTGTTAGAACGTGTAGTTCTGCTCCTAGGTTATGCTGGAGATATGTGGATGACACATACACCGTGTTGAAGTCTGAACATATTCCTCAGTTTTCCATACAGGTAAACTTAAACATAGCTGCTGAAGAGTCCCAAACTAGGACGAAACAGCTGTCCAGTACTCCCAGGTTTTCCAATGGTTCTCTAACTGATGTCAGCTCATGATGAAATCCTGTAATTCACTTTTAAGTTAGAAAACGAACAGGATGAACTGGTCAAGCTAGACTGTAGAATAAAACGAAAACATGATGGTGGTTGGTTGGATACTAGCATTCATAGGAAACCGACACACTCTAATAAATACCTAGATTTTAATTCATCCCATCAGGAATGGATAAAGATAGGTTCAGTTAAAAGTCTGTATAGTCGGGTCAAGAACCTAACTAGTAAGTCAGAAGATTTAAATAATGAAATCAAACAATAAATAAAGAAAGTATTACAACAAGTAAACAACTACCCACCAGAATTTATTCAAAAACACATGAAGAACCATAGAAAAACTAAGATTAGCAATGAAAATGACGAAAACCATATAGAATTCAAAGTGTCTGAAGTACTGCCGTATAAAGATGGAACGTCAGAGGCCTTACACAGGATTCTCAATGAAGCTGGAACTAGGGTGGCATTTAAGCCAACCAACTATCTCAGAAATAGACTTTGTCGACTTAAGGATCCAATAAATCCAATTAAGAAAAATAATATGACTTACCAAATATGATGTAATGACTGTGAGATTAATTATATAGGTCAGACTAGTAGATTGGAGCTAATTAGATTATCGGGACGGTGAAATTTTTTCCCCACCTCATATTAAATTTCTACCTCTCATTACCACTATTGTTAACTTGATTGTCGTTCAATTTTATTTGAATTCTACTCAACCTCTTCAGTTATATTACGTCGCTCAGTTTATTTATTTGATTTTATTTTAGTTTCTACCCGATTAATGCTTTCTACATTACGTAATTTGTTATCAAAAATTTACAATTATAATGACACACCTTTGGAAACATTCCTTATGTTGCTGAGATTGTACAGCTTGAGAATGATAACGCCGAAAACAGTAACTCTTCTCTAGACGTCTTTTCTTTTATATGACTCAAGTGAACATTTAAACAATACAGTTTCTTTTTATTCCATCACGTTCCCAGTGGAACATAGGGCTTGAAGCTAGAGGCTTGAAGTTTCGGTAGCAGTGGTGTTTATTTTTACAGGATGGGGTTGCTAGCCCCATCCCAAACTTCCCTCTTTACCAGTCTTATTACTGGCTTAGCGAGGTAAAGGAGTACGTCGGTGGCCGGGGATCGAACCCCGGACCTCATGCGTGGTCGGCAAGCATTCTACCGCTGCTGTGACACCGACACACAAACAATACAGTAATAGAAGTTTTGTTAATCACCCTAATAATCTTCCTCATGACTATTATGAACACTGATAGGGATGTGAGTTAATGAGAATTTGACTGTCTCTATTCTGCGTTAAAGTTTTTGTAGCAATTTGGTTAAGTTTTGGGGGTGGAGTTGCTAGCACCACGCCCCAACCCTCCCTCTTTATCCGGGCTTGGGACAGGCTAGAATACTAGTGACCTAGTAATCTAGGCGAGGTTAGAAAAAGGAGTGCGTTGGCCGGGGGTCGATCCCCGGACCATTTGCATGGTCGGCGAGCGTCCTAACCGCTAAACCACCGACGCAGCCAAAAGCCAGCTCCTCGACCGTGAATCGAACCCAAAAGATACAGTCAAATTCTCATTAACTCACATCCCTATCAATGTTCATAATAGTCATGAGGAACATTATTAGATTGATTCGGATTTTCAATACAAACGTCAAGTCAGTCAGTTCTTCTATACGGATCAGAAACTTGGCGGGTCACCAAGAATATTTCCAAAAGGTTGCAGACCTTTATCAACAACTGTCTTCGTTCTATGCTCAAGATCAGATTACCGGAAAGAATCACAAACAAGAAACTATGGGAACAGACAAAACAAGAACCAGTCGCCCAAAAAATATGCAGGAGAAAATGGAGATGGATTGGACACTCTCTGAGGAGGCCGCTGGGTGACATCGCGCGTCAGGCTAATGCTCGAGTGGAACCCGAAAGGGAAGCGGCGAGTGGGACGTCCAAGGGTGACATGGAGGAGATCGTGTGAACAGGAACTGAAACAGTATGGATTAACCTGGATGCAGGTGAAAAGTACAGCAGAAGACAGAAACAAGTGGAGACGTGTAGTTGAAGCCTTATGTTCCACTAGGAACCCAAGGGAACAATAATAATATGACTGTTTCTATTAATTTCTTTATATGTCATTATTATCTGCTTATTCTCTTTTTTTTCACAGTCCTATTGCTGGCTATATCAATTTTTGTCCTGATACATTGAGTCATGAATATAATGATAAAATGCGTTCTTTATTCGTTGCTACTCATGAAATTTTGCATGCATTGGTAAGTAATTATGTGTGTGTATATATGCGTATCTATTGATTGTTTTTTATTCCTTTGACTGGATGAGATTAGTAAAATAAGTCATCAGCAGCATATTACTCCTAATGTACTTAAGTTACAAAAAGTACAGCAGGTCACGTGTGAGGACAAATACTTGCCAGCGATGACATTCGCTAGTGGTCGCACCATATTGTGAATTGCCAGAAGTTGGAATTCATGAACTGGCCAATGTATTGGATCCCAGTGGCTGAATAGTCTACAAGCTCGCCTCGTAACCGGTGTCTTGGCTCGAACTCCAGTAGTTGGATACGTACTGTGAAGAGTCGCAAACTAGTACGAAACAGCTGTCCAGTACTCCCTGTAGGTTTTCCAATGCTCCTCTAACCGATTTCAGCTCATAATGAAATCATGTAACCAATCAAATCCCTACAAACCAGCACTTGAATACAAAAAGTATTGTTTTCATCACCTAGGTTGGATGTGTAAACGCCACTAGCATACAAGAATATTCGCTTCAGAAGCTATACAATAGTTCGGTACATGTTCACAGTTGGATATTACTATTAAAAAGGCTTAACTTGCTGTGTCTGACATGTTCAGATGAACTGAGAAGCACAATTTCAGGTGTCCACTATAGATCACCATTCCTCCACATAGAAATGTAGAACTAGATGAGGTAACAAAATTAAATTAAAGGTCAAATTCAAAATTTGCAAATTGGATGGCAATTTGTAATCTACACAGTTGGAGAGGTGAAATTTCACCGTAGTTTCTTTTGGAAGTTAGAATTCATGGTTCACTGAATTGGGTGCCGTTGGTTAAATGGTCTTTGAGCTTTCCTTGTTACCTGAAAGTCCTGGGTTCGAAGCCTGGCGGTGAGTGTGTACTGCCAATGGGTCCCAGACTAGGACAGAATAGCTTTCCAGTACTCCAGTGCTGGTTTTCAATGGTTCTCTAACTGATATCAATCCTTAGTCAAACTTAATAAGCTTGAACAAAGAAAGAATGGCAAATGTACCAGGATAATATGAGTAAGCTCATCGTTTATTATTCTGAGGATTCTTCTCAACTGGCTGGCTACAACCAGAACAATACGAAGAAGATTAATTACATTAGAGATTTGGACATACTTCCTCCAAAATGACAACAAGTGACTGATAGGAACTAGAAGTAACATAGGTACGAAATGATGTTACTCTTAGTTCCCACCAAATACCTCTTGTCATTTTGGATAGAGTATGTTCAAATCTCTAATGTAATTAGTCTTTTTTGTATTGTTCAGGTTGTAGCCAGTTGAGAAGAATCGTTAAAATTAATAAAAAAATGAGCTCACTCATGACTATCCTGGTATATTTGTCGTTCTTGCTTTATCCAACTGCAAGAACTTTTTCTGTACTACACCACAATTCACATCGTTCCAAATATTCTTCTTCATCTTCAAATGGGAATTTGAAATATCGAATTTCTCCATTAAATTTTCCATCGAATCTTGTTATTGCACACACTATTTGACTATTATTTTAAAAAAATTGTATACAGCTGTAAGCTTGACCACGGATTGATATCAGTGTGACGACTATTGGAAACCAGCAGAATACTGGACAGCTGTTTCATCCTAGTTTGGAAATTATCGGCAGTACCCGCCCGCCGGGTTTCCGACCTAAGATCTTCGGGCTACAGGACAAGCGTGTAGACCTATCGGTCACTGGCGCCCGACTCAGTTGCCTATGAGTTCCAACTTCTACCAATGCGTGATTTTAGTGCGACCTCTAATCAGTAATTTTTAATATATCCACGTAAACTGTATACTTAGCTAACACATCAGTCACAATAAATTTTATAACACTTTTTTTAGGGATTTTCTACAAGTCTATTTGCATTCTACCGTGACAAGCATAATCGACCATTGACACCACGTGATCCAACTACACTTAAACCTGCACTGGGCTGGTATCCTGGTAAAAATGGGTAAGTTTCAAACAGTTCTGTTTTAATTAATCTTTTTTTCCTTTAAAAACTTTAGCAGATTGAAACTGACACTGAAAATTTTGTGGTATGTGTTAACTCTTTCATACATATCTCTTACAATAGATGTCCTACATTTACAGCGAAATGAACTAAAAAATCAGATGGTATATCTTTCATTTTATCAGGTATCTTTCTTGAAATCTTTGAATATTGAACAACTCGAATTCTTATAGTTTGGTGGATGGTGACTAGTAGTAGAATCCAGCATGCGAATCCCCTCCTATTTGGGACTCGTCATCTGGATGTACCTGCATTTCTCAGTGAGTGGTGATGTTCCCACAGAGACTCGAAACCAGTACCTACCATTTCAAACTCCAAGTCATTGTCCTCTAGGCCACTTGGGCCTCCAAAAGTCACGTCTTGTGCAACGGATTCGAACTGTTACTTTTAATGCATGTAAAAGTGCTTTCTACTCTCACCGGGGAGTAATCAGTGTTATGTGTCCACTGCTTCACATTGGTACTGGCTGATGGAACGAGGCTGGCCAAACGAGGTGAATTATAACCACGGTGCAATTTCAACTGATATTAAGTAGTGGGAGGTAATCGTCAGGATCCCGTGGGCCAAAGTTTCGTGCATCATTTCTTTCGTGGGTGCATATACGCCCTACTGACGGGATACAATAGACACAAAATCTAGGTCCAAGGCATCCTGCCAACTACCTCCAACCATATGTATGAAAGGTATGTTTGACAAGTAGCAAATATTAAACAATTTAATCAGTAATAAACTGAAAAGTCTGTTTCTTTTTTCAGCTCCAAATTAGATTTTAATCCAATATAGACAGATTTGGCCAGAATACATCTTTGTGTAGAAATATGTTAGCAACGCTAACATTGTGAATTAGGAGATGAGCTAGATAGTAGTAGTAATAATAATAATAATAGCTTTATTCCAAACAGTACTTTTGGTGCAAATATCGAATTTTCAGCATGTAATTTTCTCATTGCATAATGCAGGGGTAATAATTAAAACAGGGCATTGAAATTGATAATATTGGTAAGTAAGAGTATTACTACAAAACTATAATTTAAGTAAAAATAGTAACAACAACGTAATAATGGAAGAAAGAATAAAAAGGGCTGTTTCCTTGGCTTTTCTTAGTGAGTTAGCCGTGTCACGCTCTACACTTCTGTCATCAGATAAAATGTACGCCAAATAAGGTACTGTGGAGTCTTCATACTCAGTCATCCAAGAATAAAGTCTTTTATAGTTATAAGAAAAAAGTCCTACCTGATGAAATGCAAGCAAAGAGTTGTGTGTACAAGAGAAACGATTCTCAAAGCCCGACATCATGATATTCGCTAATTTCTTGCATAAGTCAATGTGTCTGTCTACAACAGTATTAACAAGTTTGTTTAGCGACAACTCAATCGCCCTAGTGACAGCTTTTTGTGTCCCTCCTAGTATAATATAGTCTTTCTCAAGTAGCCGAAGAAAGATTAGGGGGGAGCAGTAGTGGGGAATAGGGAGAATACAAGAGTGAACAAACTGTAATAATAATAATAATGGTCTGGTTTATTCCAAAAACAGTCCTTATAATACAGCATGGAATTTTCAGCATTTGTCACAATATTGCAACTAATTTCCTCAAAATATAAATATAATTAACCACATGAACATTTCCACATTTTACGGTAGGAATAATATGAAAAGTGTGCAAAGTATAAAGTGAGAATAATAGCTGTAATAATAATAGTGGTAGTAATAATAACAGTAAGTTTGTTTCAAACAGTATTTTCAAATACAGTATGGAAATCTTAGCATTTCATAGAATATTGAATTTAATGTTCTCTTGACATAGCATGGTGAAGGAGAAACCTAAAAAATAACAATTATCTCAGAGCCTGTATGGTGTTTACAATTATGGAAACAACAAGAGGACTATGAATTTAAGAGGAATAATAACATTAAGACTTGATGTCTCAAGCATGGAGTAAATTATTTGTTAGTTCGTGCCTTATACTATTTTCATCGAATAAAATACCTGGAAAATATGGTATAGTGTAATTTTTATACTCCGATGTGTGCGCGTACAGTATTTTGAAATGACTTCTTGTTCCACTGTAGAAGTAGAGACTCAACGACACCAGATTGTCTTAACTTTCTTACGTAGAAGGTTAGGTAAATTATCTTTCTAGAAATTCTCATGATATGGGAAGATCAGGAAAGATTAGAGGGAGAACATAATCCAAAGTACTTAACATTCAACTGAGTTTCAACTCCAGTATGCCGTCTATGACAGTAGAATCAAGCGAACAAACCAGTTCATGTGTAAGTCATGTTTGTGTCTGGAAATGATTTTAAAATTCTGACATTTGATGGGATTGAGCTTAAAACCATCTGACAAGGACCACTGACTAATTAATTTCTGATAAACAAAAAGTTATTCATTTTGGAACCGATATGGAAATAATCAGCTTCACCAAAATATGACAGAAAAAGCGAGACAATAGCACCTTGTGGAATACCAATTAGAGTAAGTAAATCAGCGAAGAATTTCCCGTTAACGGTGTAACACGCATGACTGAGCTCAGAAAGTCGACTGAGTACAAATCACACCCGATTTGAGCCGGCTAGCTATCAGTCCGCTGTCGTTAATCGAAAATGTAACATACATTCTTTTTTTTAATTACCTCATATTAATTAACTAATTAAATTACAATTGATGGATAGCTTCTGTGTTTGGCGACTTTTGTAGATGAAAAAAGAAAATGTTAAATATAAACAAATTGTTTTAACGAGTAGTTTTAAACCATTTTTAACGGATTGTCTCTCTCCTTTTCTTTTTAAAGAACAATAAATAAATAGTTAATTTCTTTAATTGTTAGACAGCAGAAGAAATTTCAAGTGATTTATGAGTTCATCTACTTACTTACTGTAAACAAAAATGAAGTAACTTTTACTAATGGTCACCTCGTAGAATCAATCATCTTCAGCAAAGACAAAATATCTGTTTAATGAATTAGGAAATTGGAGAATTTAATTATACATAAAATTCAGTTAGGATTTCATCATGAACTGACATCGGTTAGAGGACCATTGGAAAACCTAGGAGTACTGGACAGCTGTTTCGTCCTAGTTTGGGACTCTTCATCAGTTTTTCCAATGGTCCTCTAACCGGCACTTGAATATCAATATGATGCTCACCAGTGACTGGCCCTATTCACGTAGGTAGTTACCTGGGTTCTAATGGGTACGGCTGGTCAGATGTGAGGACAAATACTCGTCAGCGATGACATTCGCTAGTGGTCTCGCCACATCGTGACTGGCCAGAAGTTGGAATTCATGGCCTGGTCATTGGATCGGGTCGCAATGGCTTAATGGTCTACGAGCTCGCCTTGTGTCCAGGAGATCCTGGGTTCAAACACTGGCGGGGTGGGTGCGTACTGCCGATGAGTCCCAAACTAGGCGAACGAAACAACTTTCCAGTACTCTCCGCAGATTTTCCAATGGTTCTCCAACCTATATCGCTTCATGATGAAATCCTGAATCCAATCAGATTCCGGGAAACTAACACTTGAAAATTCAATTAGTTTACTATGAATCATTTCGTCATTACTGTTGTTTTATTTCCAAGAATTGTTTCGAGAGTAATACAGTATGAAACGGTAAAATCTGAAAATTAAGTGCCACTTGAAGCCTGTTGGTTGACAAATACGATGTTGGATAACAGGAGTGAGCACATGTCTGCCTTAGTTTTATCCATAAAATTTTATAATTCTATGTAAACACCTCAAATTTATCTATAATATAACATTACTCATCAAAAAACTTCATACTCTGATACCATGCGTTTCGAACTAATTAAATTACACTGGCTCTCCTTAGAGAGTTGCTCACTTAAGTCAAGTTAAGAGACTTGGCAACAGAATGTCTATTAGGAATTTAATAAACACATATAGGGAAATGATGTACACCATATAATGAAATCGTCATTTGCACAGATCTTCTGTGTTGTGCTACTTCTTCCCCCCCTCCCCGTCGTATTGTGTTTCTTTGTCTTTTTTTCGTGTCTACCATGTTTTGCCGCATTTTTCATCATTTTCTGCCTTTGACGACAAATCTATCTCTTCACTATTTGATATTTTTGCGTGCCGATAAACGTGTCTTTATATACTACTGATAAATCTTGTCAGTGGCACATCCCACAGTGTTACATGTCTATAAGTAATCATCGGGAAGTCATGAAATCAGACTCATTCTGTAACACTGAAAGGCTTTTAATCTCTAGGCATAATAGTTGCAGATATAATCTTTATTCACCATGGTTGACGAATGTTAGGAGTCATAAAGTATTTGGGCTCTCTCTGCTGTCAGTCGCACCAAACACCACATAACCAGCAATATTTTATAATGCCTGTATGAATCTAATGCCATTAACAAAATGATCTTCATCAATATACCTTGTGTTCAACCTTAGTAGTTGATTTTTACTGAAATACACTGATTGGCTTGTATTCAGTTATTTCTCAAGAGTCAGCAACTAGTAATCAGGCTTGAAACAAATCAAATGCATGCAAGCTTACCCTTGAAAATGAATCTGATGCCCACAGGATGAAGTTGCCTGCAGTTCTAGTGAGAAGTTGCGCTAAAAATCATGAATTGGTAGCAGTTGGAATTCATAGGTCCGATTACGTCGGACCACAGTGACCAAATGGTCTACGAACCCGCCTTGTAACCGGAAGATCGTGGGTTCGAACACTGGCTCTAGATGCCTACTGTTGAAGAGTCCCAAACTAGGACGAAGCAGCTGTCCAGTACTCCCTGTTTGTTTTTCCATTAGTTCTCCAACTGATGTCAGCTCGTGAACAAACTTAAATCCTTTTCAGTTAGCTTGTAAAGACAGAAGACAAGGGCCAGGCAACAGATCGTTTATTGAGAAAATCAACAGATATTTATAGATTTTTATGTACATCATTGTCAGTAGAGAAGCAACGTCTTCTGATTGGTTGTTTTCTTGCTCAAGGTTATTCTGTACTGCTTGTGACCGTTTCTTAGAAAGCTAAGCCATATATCTACGAATCGTATTTGCACACGTTAAGTCTGCTGTGATTGGCTGGTAAGTTCCTCAAGGTTAAGCTTTGTTGTTGCACAACATATATATATATATATATATATATAATTATTATATTCCTTGACTCACAGATTTCATTTACTCTTCTGGTATTTTAACAGGCAAGTATATCAATGGAGCGATAAAGTGGTTCAAAGAGTTAATCGTACCTGGTTAAGCGCTTTGGGAACTTTTCAAAAACTAGCACATATTGTAGTTTTACCAACAGTTGTAGTGAGTAACCGCCGCTTACTTAATTTTATTGCTATTTTCTTACAGATGATATATCACTGTTATGCTTTCTAAATTCTTAACTGTTCTCACATTACAGTCGATTTTTAAATGTATCTGAAAATTCTGTTTGTGTCAGGATTTGTAGTGATTTAGTAATTACTTTTAAATATTCATATCAGTGAGCATTGTTTAATTTTTTTTCAATTTTATTAATGAGTAATCATCGCGTTCAAACTTTGAAAGGTGAGCAGTTCTGTTAGATTCCGAGAGCTAAGTTGTTTGCTTTTATGATGTTTCTTCTGCAGGAGACGAAGATGTCAGGAATAAAAATGTAAACTTTGAAGGCTGCTTTAGCGTTACTATTATTAAGCATAACTTCTTTTAAACAGTTATTATTATTTCCTTGGGTTCCGAATGGAACACAAGGTTTCAGCACCACGCCTCCACCTGTTCTCTTCATTCCTCTGCAGCTAGCCCCACGATTGCCAGCAAGCTTTCATCTCTGCCTACTCACATGATATCTGCCTCATGTCAAGCTCGGATCCACCGGTAACTCATCGTTTCCTGTTCAAGTTTCCCTTGTTGCCTTGTTCTACTCCTGTTTTCGCCTCAGAGGCTCCGCTGAGTCTTCCGTTGTTGATCACTTGACACGTGTCACTTTCATACAGCTACTGAATAAGTTTGATAAAGCTTTGAAGCATGCCATAGTGTTGAAGTAGTTTCTCATGAATCTAGCTTGTTCAACTTGGAATCCTGCATCCAGTGTATCTTTTAGTCTCTCCAGGAGAAAGTGAATTAATATTTTCCTTGGCATAGACAACAATTGCGCCATTCTTCAGCTAAGTTGCTCTTCTTTGGTAGTTTGACAGGGTAGCCTTTCATCTAATCAGAGTAGGTACCTTTCCTTCCTTCCAAACATTTTTTACACTAATGGCGTGAACATATCCGCTGTTGTCGCTCGATCCGTTTTCAGTACTGAAGGAGGGAATCCCGTCGAGTCATGCTGCCTTCCTAGCTTTCAGAGGTTTTGAAAGAAGTTATCAGGACAACAAGTATTTTTTAAAGCTTATCTTATATTTTTATAATGATACTTTCTTTCATTAGTCAATACGTTAAATTTGGACTAATACATTCGTTGTTTTCCAAGTTATTTCACTTTTGAGTATCCAGAAACTAACATTCTTTGATCTGTGGAATTCTGAAATGTAGACCATTCTTTCAATACTGTTGGGGACTGTAAAATATTTTGTATTCTGTGTAGTTGAACTATTTCTTAATAAATACGTCATTGACAGGTGACTGTTGATGATAGATTAGATGAGATTACGTTAAGTGTCTGACCACTGATGTGCTTCAACACTACACATGTCAGTGTAGCCATCTCTTAAGATTTAACACGTTGACCACTGACTCTCGCTTCAATTGCTTTATCTGAATTTGGATAATTAATCAATTCAGATTATATGTGGAGAATGAGGGCTAACGTTTCGTGCTAGCTGGTACTCGTCTGATAGAATTCAGTCTGCACCAAAGATAGGACTAGACACATTACACTAGTTACTAACTAGTGTCCAACCAAAATATCCAATACAGTCCTACAGGAGATCACCTTTGAGCCCAAACAGCTCAGTGGTAACATCTCTGACTGACTGAAGTACTGGGTGACGCGGATTCGAATCTCAAAATGAACATGAGTTCCTTCAAGGTTGCAGATACGCCTTGCTAACTGGTAAGTGACAGCTAGTACTAAACCTAGATCGAAGGCTTCCTGTGGCCGATTGCCTCCAACCATCTAATATCAACAACTCAAAATGTACCGTGATGGATGGCAAGCCACCTAACATGCTAGTCACGTTGCAAAATTGACTGATAGAATTCAGACATCTATAAAACACAAAATAATTGAGCAAAGAATATCCTTTTCGATGAATTCCTCTTCTGCCTCTACAATTATGTACTTATGTTTATATACACAGAATATTCTAGATTAGTAGTCAATTACAATATTAGTGTTTTTTAAATAATATCGATTTGTAAAGTATGATCAGTGGAATTACAGTTCATTAAAGATGCTTAAAGAAATAGTAGCAAATAGAATATCAACTAAAATTAGGGAAATTTCCACAAAAAACTGAGGACCATTCGAACCCAGATGACCAAGGTAAGGATAATGTCTGAACTAACTTCTTTTGGATGCACAAATTAGGCTTCTTAATGCGGATCCCAACAGTCAGCCTCAGAAATATTTAGTAATCGAACTCTTAAGGCGAAATTGAGATTTGTTGGTATGCGGTAAATGACTCTGAAAGCATGGTTGACATCAATCTTGTGTTCTGTATCCACAAGATGAGATAGAATAGCGCTACGAATAGATTTTGTTTGTCCTTTACTTAACCACACAGGATGGTGTTCGGAAATCCGACGAGAAACACGCCTAACCGTACGGCCTATGTAACTGGTTCACTCCACAGGGGCAGTTCAATTGGTAGATAAACATGGGAGAAGCGAAATTAGACAGTTTATCTTTTACTCCAGAACGCAAAAGAGGAGTAGTTTTGAAGACACAGTGTAATTTAGCATCAGAAAGTGCTTCTTTTACTGGATTTCTAAGGCACTGTGTTAGTATCTCACTGATGTTGTCCCCAAGGAACTGCATTTGTAAGAATAAGGCCCTTTTAGGAACTGCTGGTACCTTGGGCTGCTTTGATTTTAGATTCATATTCTTATCAATAAACTTTTCTGGATAACCATTTTCACTCAGCAACCGTTTAATATTATTAAGTTCCTCATCAAGACATTCATCCGAGCAAATTGCTCTTGCTCTGTGAACCAAGCACTTTATCAGAATGCGTTTGTATTTTAAGGGCACGAAGCTGAAAAAATGAGTATACTGACAGTCAGTTGATGTAGGTTTTCTATATACACCAAACAAAGGACTGGACACATTACACTAGTCACTAAATAGTGTCCAATCAAAGAATCCATTTCGGTGCACAGTGAGACGACAAATAAAAACTAATAAGTCACAATCTAGGCTATCCATAAATAACACATTGCCCGTTTAGTGTAGGCCATTTTTAACAATATGAAAGAGTCTGGATACTCGTCAACTGGTATGATCTGCTATCTGTGAATGTATATACCTACGAATAATTGAACTCATGACTCTGACTGATTGGTATTTAGAATATAACTAGAATTACCAAAAACAATCACACTTGAAAGACATGCTTTTAGGGGAATGGATGATTTGAACAGTCGGAATATTGATTTTATGGGATTTATACCACAGATTAAAAATATGATTTTATGTTTTTAATTTCCTCCGTGTGCTAAAGGTTGTTCTTCCTCTTCTTGTTCACCATTTGTGCGCTTCTCTCTTGCATTTTATTGTTAAAATTTTAAAAAAGCACATTAAAATCAACACAGATGTTTCGACCATCAGCAAAACCTTCATTAGTTAAAAAAAACTAAGTGTATGGACAACTGAAGTTGGAGAAAGAATATTACTTCAGAGTTTTATGAACACAGTTGAATATGTATTTTTGTTTGTTCTCTTTTATCCCTTTGGCCTTAATGTATAGTGAGGCAAACTTATGTTTTAATTTTTTTTTCACCAAACATCCCAAAAATTGTGATATAAGTTTTCGTTCTAACTCCAGAATCAAAAGAAGTCTAATGTAATATTAAGTGATTCAATACCAGTACTTGTTATCTAATATTTTGAATTGAATTTAATGAATTTGCTTTTATAATAGAGAAGATTTGTCGCTCAGGTGTATGATTCTAAATTAGTTGTGTTTTCTGAGTTGCGAAGCTTTCGTCGTCCTCATTGTAGACAACAGTCTCCAGTGCAAGCGTTAATAGGAAGTGAACTGGATATAAGGATAAAACTTGGGCACTGTGGTAGAGTATAATTCCATTATGGATAAGATTTTATTTTGATAAATCACACAGTGTTGTACAGTAATATTAACTGATGACCACGTTTCGAGCACAAATTAATACTGCTCATAATCATATCAAGTCACTGACACAACTTTCTTGCTTCATTTATATACATGAGTGAAATTGATGATTAGACATTTGAATACAAATCAATATAAGATAAAGTACATTTCGAAATAATATTAGTGTTATCAATAAAATACAATTAGATGCTTTTTACAGTAAAATAAATAAATAAGTTTTTGGAATGTTATAATGTGAATTGATGGAATACAAATAAAGTGTAATTATATTTCAATAGTTTACACACAGTGATAAGTTTTGTTATTGGTAATTTTGCTCGAAATATTACCAAGAACAAAACTTATCATTGTGCGTAAACTATTGAAATATAATTATACTTTATTTGATCTACTCCAGAATGATCAAACTTTTTACTGACATTGATGGAATACATTTTAACATTATTTATTGTCCTCTGATTTGACTGGTAATAATATCTTGCATACATATCTCTGGTATTTGCATTGAGTCATTTCTGTTGCATGTGTTGGGTGTAGATTCGATGAACAAAGATTCAGTAATCAATCTCTGTCTCTCTCCACCTACCTATATTGCCTTTTAGAATTTTAACTCTGTCCCACCCACACTACTGTGTAGTTGTGCGTTAATGCAAGCAGTGCGATAGCTGAGTTTGTTTCTAAATTACTTATCATCATGGGGTCAGTCATTCTAACGTTGGCTAAATTCTTTCTACCCCCTCATGATCAACTGGTTTGACCTATGTAGTTGACTCCACTCACCTTTATTGCAAGGTATTTTGTAAATTATATTATTCTTTCTAATTGGATCAGCCTACAGGGTTCTTTAACCTACAGAGCTTGTCTCTGAGTTAGTTTGTAGGTTTGAATGCTACTGGGAGTGCAGATACATTCAGCTAGCTGACGAGTTCTATAGTGGACGAAACGTGCATCTTGGTAGATTCCATGGCTAGTCAACGTCAACCAAAATCACTTCTCGATAAGTTATAGAAATTTATTTCATTCCTTTTC